TCTGAGAACCAAATGGAGTCGATATCTTTATTATGATTCCCCGAATCGCAAAGTATCGTATTCGAATATTTCTGAAATTCCTTAAATAATGATAGGTAACACTCTACAATTCCAAGATGTTATTTAAAACATTTTTCGACCAGTCAATTAAAAAGTGGTCAATTGACCACGATCAATTACTAATAGCACCCCAGTTAACACTGTAGAACACTGCGATTTAATAATAAAAACTGAAGTGGGCGGCAAGTGCTGAAGGTGGTTATCTAGTTTCTATGTTCAACTTTTTTTTTGAAAGATTGTTATTAATTTATTAACAGACAATTTTTTTAAAAATTATTAATAGTTGGTAGTTTTTTTTTAATAAGAATAGTTTATTTATCCTGTTGTTATACTATTTTATTAAAACTGTAGGACACTAGTAGCTGACTAAAAACTAGATATTTTCTTTTAGATAGATATTTTATTTTTCAAAAAAAATATTCTCCATTTAACCAATGCAGTGGCTACCTAATTAAACAAATTATTGTTTTTCATAGACATTTAGTGGTGGGGCACTGATTTCCTTAAAAAAATTATATTTACATTAATTTATGAGCAAAGTAATTTTTCTGCAAGAGGTTTCAAGGTTCAAGAAATTAAATTTCTTTAGAAATGAGTGCAGATTGTATGAATAATTTTTATTTTAAGAGAAATCAATGGCGTACCATCAATGACTACCAAAGTAGAGAGGTGAAATTCCGTACGCCGGCCACTCGTGTATTTTATGCAAATTGTGGTAAACTAAATAATACCTCTCAATACATAGTACATGTGTGCTAAATTTCATTAAAATATCTAAACTGATATTACAGATAGTAAAAAAATATATTATTATTGAAAACTTTACCACCCTCAAAAGTTAAGACGTTTAGGACATATGGACCGAAAAATCGCCGCCTTAAATTATTGTCACTCAATTAGAACACATCTTGCATATCGCCTCCATCGCATCAACTGACCCGCTTTCATAGATATTTCTCTTATAACGTCTCTAAGCTGTACAACCTATGGAGTTCCGGAAGAATTAAAATGCTTTAGCTTAAACTTATTTAAACATTTCTATGTAAAGTACCTTCTCAATAACGATTGTGTGTAGCAGGCGGGTTTTGTTGCTTATTTTCAATTCTTGTGTTAGGATTTTTATTAGTTTTTTTTTGTTTTTCCCTGTATACTATTTCTATTTCCAACTCCAGAAAACTTTTTCATTTATTGCTTGTTACGAATCGGTCATAATATGCGGAATCTATTTAAATATTACTTTCAGTGTCTAGGAGTTGAACTTCAACATTTTGCAATTATTTTCAACTCCTTTTTTGCAACCATAAGGTTCAATTTTGTGATACTTTCTGTATTATTTTTTTGTAAAATAATAATAATTATTTTTATTATGATAATAATAATAATAACAATAATAATAGCTATTATTATTATTATTATTATTATTATTATTATTACAATTATTAACCATATATTTGATTTGAAAAAGTGTAAAAAAAGACTATTTTAAAGAGTTACAATCCGTGGTCAATAATTCTCAGGTCCAGGTTTTTAAAATACACAGGTGCTGATACTTGTGCAAAAGCATGAATCTTTGACTAATTTCAGGATAAAAAGTTTTCGTGGACATGGGTCCGCAAATGCTTGGTTCGAGAGGTACATGGCGTCCAAAAAACTGTTTTATTCAGTTTTTTTATATTATTTTGGTTCACTACTATATCTATTAAACGAAATGCGAGAAATGCGGTGTTGTGTTGTTCCTGAATTTTGTTACTGAACTGTTACTGAACTAAAATATAACAAAAAAAAAAATAGTTTCCTTTCGACGCCTTGTATATCAGGAACCAAACCGTTGCGAAGCTCTATGACCTTTTTATCTTAAAATTAACCAAAATTTGAAGTACTTCGTTAACATCCTGTACTTTGTAGAAACACATAATACTTAATGACAATCTATACATTTGTAACTTTACAATTCGTATGTCAAAAGTTTTGGAAAACTAGGAAAAAATGTAAATCCGGTTCAACGGTACAAATTTTAAGATGTGTTTAGCAAATAAAATGTAAACTAATAATAAAAATAAAAGTACGACCTTTTATTTCAATTTTTATCTGAAAAACAAAATGCCCATATTCTTCAACTATGTTGTCGCCATTTAGAAATGGATTTTCAGAATTCCAGCGGTTTTCACGGTTTTAAAATCGAAAAAAATTAATACATGAAACTAATCAATACGTACAACCCATAGCTCTTGCTTTGGTTAGTCCCGACGAGTATGTTTATAAAGAGCTCGACTTTTTATTTTACTCAACGAGCCGACATAGGTCTTGCGTGTTCCATTTTCACCAAATTAAATTAAATAATTTCTATTTTCCAATATACGCACATAGTATTTCCTTTTCATTTTAATAAAATAAAAATTAATCATTTTAATTATTTCCTCAAATAAACGCAACTTTTTTCTGCGCTTATTTTTTTGAGTCGTTTTGATAATATTTACCGCGTTGCGTCTTTTAGTGACGTAGGTATTCGTAACATTCGCGAGCTGGTTTCGGCTTGAAAAAAAATTAGGCTGCAATTACATCGCTGCGCGGAAAATTTGCTCGCGAAATCATTTTCGCAATTATTTATTTTAATTGAGTCGGATAAGCGATCAGAAAAAATTTAATAAGGTGACGAATACAACACGAAAACATGCTTTAACGTTGGAATTATTTCGCAATTATTTTGTCGTCTCAGGCGACGACAGCCAAGCGATTTCGAACCGCTTTTGTCGCAAATCACTAAAATTATACTTTATCCGTCATTACGTTCGTTTGAGATTTTTGTTTTTCGTTGCAGTTCTAGTTCTTACTGAAAGGGCTAGATTGAAGTCTTCAAAAGAAAAGAAAACTATTCAAAATTTGTCGCCAGAATTTAGACAAAACACGAAAATTAAGTATAAATTGATGTGCCGTTGTTTCGAAACATATATATTTTTAATATTTAACACTCTCTATCATAAAGCAATCCAGATTGCTTAACCAAATGTAAGCCACCAAGTGATTTTTTGAAATTGACATACCTTATTTTTATAATCTTTGTTAATTTTTGACTTGGAAAATGTTGGTGATTTGCAAATATTATCAATTAAACGTTTTTTTCATGCTATAAGTGCTGTGGCGACTAAACTAACCAATGCCAAAACAAAACAATTGAGCATTACAGAAACGGCACTATGTTGGCTTTCAGTACTTCTTCTGCCTTATTCATTTTTAGTGCAACGAAATGATCTCGAGTCTCTATAGTCTTTCTAGAAAAAAAACCTATAATATGGAGAAAATACTAACTGTATATAGGACAAATTAAAAACAAAAACAAAAAAAGATCTAAAACAGATTTTTTATAAAAAATATTAGTATTAGTGTAGTAGTAGTTTTTATAACAGCTCTAAAATTTTTCTATTTATCATTTAAAACAGAGTTTCTTGATCTGTGATCATCTTTTTCAGCGAATATCTAAATGTTTTTGATAAAATTAGTCCAATTATTAAACCATAAACAAATTTTCGTTTTAATTTATAAAAACTTGTCAAACGTAATAAATGGAAATTAACATCTTTCTTTGTTTTCTAATTTACTCTAATTAATTTAATCTAATATTATACTCTTGGCCAATCAATAGCCGTTCTATAATAGAAAAACGTATTGCGAGTATTTCTAAATTTACAACCTTTTGAAAAACCTTAGACAAAAAAATATTTGGGAAAAATGACTTTTAACGATTTTTCCATTCAAATTTTTAGTGTTAGTTTTTGTCTCCTGTATTTATTCATTTTTGAAATAGCAAAACATCCTTAAACTAGGTATATAACAAGAGTTTTCATTCCCAGGAATCGATAGACCTACAAACGTCACATTTGACATAAAATTGAAAATATGTCGGAGGGGCTCAGACTTAGTTATATATATAATATATCTAAAAGTTCCGAAGCATTCAACAATTTTGTAACATACAGGGTGTTCTATGTAAAATTAGAAAGTTTTTACCTGTACACCATGTATAACAGTATAGTATATTTATATTAATAATAACATATATTGGGTTTCGTTGATATTCTTTACAGATTCTGAGATAAACCAGCCTCCTATACAATACAAAAATAGGTTATATATTGAATTTTAATAACAATTCGTAATAGTGAAATTAAATAATGTCAAAGACTGCCATTTTTATTAAACGATTCTTTTAAAGAAATGCAAACTCTTCAATTTGCTATTTTCAAATTTTAAACGTCGTGATATCTGTCGAATATCAAAAATACGATGCCATCTTGGTTTTAGGTGCATATTTTTTTAGCTTTCTGAACAAACCTTTGTAATCTGAATTAACAAAGTTTGTGGACACTTCCAAGAACACGTTTGGGATATACAGGGGGTTTAATTCGTCAATAGTCGAGAATTATTTTCTGCGCCGCATTCGAAATAGAATTTTCCCTATTTGCTATTTACAATTACATTTTCTATTTAACTCTGAGTGGGACAGCAGAATCGTTATTCAGAACGGTAGTATCGTAAATTTTTTCATATCATTAATTTTTTTTAGTAAACTTGGAGATATGCTTTATATGATTTTTGATATTCTGCGTTTTAATTAGATTAAATCTAGACAGTCTGTTACAGCTTGAATTAAGCAAAGGGGGTTTGAATGGTTTTGTCAAGCCATGGTAGCAAGATGGTTTACAGCAATTAAGCTGAATGTGTACACAACTTTATATTTTTTGGAATAGAAAGATCTATTCAGGGAGTTGAAAATATACAGATCTTCCTTTAAATATATTACATTTATAATTAAAAAATAGCAAATAGGGAAGATTGTATTAAAAGTGAGACAGTAAATGATGTCGCTATGCAAGAAAAATTGCTCTACTCAAAAATCGTTTTATTTATGACTGCAATTGCACTGAAACCGATTATTTTTTCAGGATTCTTGTTGGACTTTGTCTCCGGTCCGGTGTCTTCCGGATTTACATCTGCGGTTGCCCTGATCATATTATCATCGCAAATGAAAGATCTGTTGGGTATAAACGTCTCAGGCTCGGTATTCACGGATATATGGAGAAATATTTTTAAGGACATCCATAACATCAGTCCCTGGGACACTACCCTTGGGGTCGCCTGTATCGTGGTACTGCTTATCATGCGGGTAAGTCGTACTAGATCGGCTTGAGATCCTTCACGTTTTCCATAATGCCATTTTATCTAGGTTATCGGTAAAATAAAAGTCGGCCAGACTAAGGAAATGGAAGCGAAATGTCCGAAAGTGCAACAATTCATCAACAAATTCCTTTGGGTGTTTTCTACAGCCAGAAACGCCATTATCGTTATCGTTTCCGGTTTTATAAGCTATTCTTTCAGCTTAAACGGTAAGTTTTACTGTTAGCGACATTTATGATGAATAAGTAGGCTCGAATTTTACGTTGCATATTTATTAAGCTACGTGTAATTGGCAATTTTTGCTAAAACCACAAGCCGTCGCCGCAAGACCCCAGCAATGGCGTATCGACCTTCGGTCTCCACGTTTTTTGTCCACGAAATGTTTTTCTTTTTAAGTTTAACACAATCATGCAGTACACCAATATTTTGCGGGCTTTAATTATCAAGCAAAACTCTCATTATAATTCCGAAATTATCTTTTGCATTTCGTTTGGTGTATAATTGGTGCTTTTCAATACCACTGCCACAATAATTACAATATGTTATCTCGGCGCGTTTTTCATAACCCACGACATAAGCGCTTATCGACATAGTACGCATATTTGGAATTCACCAACTTGAAACTGAAAATTTGTTGCTATAGTCTCGCACACGATAAATGGACATGACTGTAATAATGCTATTAACAAATCAAAGCAGTCCAGGGCAGTACTAAGGAAATTGACACACAAAATGTCTGAATACACTGTGCTGTCTTGCGTACTTTATAATGGGAATTATAGAAATAATAAATACTGATTAAAAAAATAGTCATCAGAATGGTCATACAAAGATAAAATTAACGGTTTTACGTAGGCCCAAGTTTTTTTTATAATTATTTTCCACTTCAAGAACATGATTAACACATTCTCTCCAACTACTCTCTGGTATTAATCACACTGAGTTTTAATTATATCAGGTACATGGGCGGATATTTGGGGTTTATATTATTTTTTAATTCGGCCCATATCATTTCTATAAGATTTAAATCGTGGCTATAAGGTGGTAATCCAAAGGGCATATGAACGGATTTTTTATGATCTCGTCCAAGAAACAATTTTTATCATCCAATTTGGTTCTTAAAACATCAACATCAAAATAAAGGTCATGCTAACTAAGAAACTCCTGCAATACCTCTTTTTTGTTGCTTATCGTTGATACTTTTCTAGCTTAAGTGCTGTGGTAACTAGGATTATCATAAAAAGCCAGATAATTTTTTACCCAATTTTCAAAAAGTTCAATCGTGTCCTGATGGTAGTCTAATGTGTAGTCTTTAATGTTTTTTCTGAAAATACCTTGCCTTGTAAAATTGATATTCTTTTTCCTCTAGATGCAGATGAAGAATTTTGCCACGCTTATACTAGGGTCACTTCAAAAGCTTCCTAACCACTACTAACCAAAAGTACTAACTAAAAACCAAAACTAACCAAACATTTTTTTAAATTTTGTTTTATTTTTCTACAAAGTCTCCTTGTAACTAACTGTATACACGTTTCCCAACGATGCTCCCATCTCTAACCCGTTGACATGGTACCCTTCGTTTTTCTCCACAAAATAATTGTTCACGAAGGTGATTGCCTTCTCAGCACAGCTTTCAGATGAAGAAACAAAACGAAGTCGCTTGGGGCTAGATCTGGTGGGTAAGGTGAATGTAGTCTTTTTTCCGGAATTTCTATCCTCAGCTTGTCAAGTAATGATGCTTAGTATGTTCCTGCAATGGTTTTTGCTTTTTGAAGGTAATCTAAATATTTTTCAAAATTATCCGAAAGTCTCTACGCAGCAACATGGTTTTTATGGGAAAAGACGTAATGTAAACTGACTTTCACAAAGTATTTAACCAGACTTACTGATTGAAAAAGCGTCTCAAAAATTTGGTTTCTCCAAAACGCTAATTTCAGTGTTGAGATCCTATCTGCTGCACCGTCGACAGTTGGGAGCTTTAGATCAGCTCCTTTTGTTTCAACTTCTGGTGTGCCTCGGGGTTCTATCTTGGACACCTCTGTTCAATATATTCTTAGATGACCTATATCACTCGCACCGTTCGTGCCAAATAAACTCGTGAGTCAATTGCCGTTTTTCACGCTTGTTGCATAATATACTATTACTGTTACGTTAGGGCCAAGCTTGATTATGGCTGTAGAGAAAGTTACTGGAGTATCTAATATTCAGGCAGTAGAAATAATTCCGTTTTTATGTGCCGCGGCTGGAAGGGAGACATCCATCAACTTTCTTACCGCAGTTACGCATCCAATATCCATTTTCAAAATTTCAAAAAAAAAAATGTTAACTTCAACAAATTATCATCTCACTGTGATTTACATTTTTAAAGCCTTATCCACTTCTTTTTGTTTATTTCTTATTTCAGTTAAAAAAATAAGTATATTTAGCATTAGTTTTACATCCTTTGTGGTTAACATTTCAAATGATTTATAAGTTGGAAATAAAGTACTATTACATAAAAAATAATAACTGCAACGCCATTAATTGTGAATGATTTTCAACTTCCATTCGATATTACTGAATTAAAAATACCTTCTTGTACTGATAAAGTTTAAAATCGTTTTTTTATTGGTTTATTGCTCGGTTTATTAAACGGTTTATGACAGGTCAGGCAACTTGTCACCATTTATCGCGTGCTGTACTATAATTGAAGTTGCCAACAGTGGCGTGTCAGTTTACGCGCTGGTGATTTCTCTAAGCAATATTGCCATATAAATTTTTCTGCCCCCTATTCGAATAGACCCAATTAGCATTAATTAATTAAGCGTGTCATAGGAGTACGATAGTTAAATATAGCTATTTTATTATATAAGGTAGTAAAGTAAGGGTAGTAAAGTAATAATTGATGAGCCCCACGAGGCTATAATATTGTAGAGAATAGAGATAGAAGAGATAGAATTATTTTCAAAATATCTTATAACGATTCACACTGTTTCTTGAAATAGAATTTTTGTAGCTATAACATTCAAAATTAGCTTATCCTAAGTAAATAACACATAGTTTGATAAATTCAAAATAATAGGCAAAGATGGTCACCAAAGGAACGAACCGCTAGAGCGTGCCTTAAAATTTTATTCCGTCAAACATCAATTGCAGATCTCTAAAATAAAAAATAAAAAGTAATTCAAGCTACCCAAGACTATCCGAGATCCGAATGATCTTCCGCGTTTGCCTCTTAAGTTTCAACCACTAACCTGCCCGTGTCCTATTTTCTTCTTAAACAGCGATATTTCCACGCACTTAAAACATACAAAATACAACATTTTCACAAAGTTTTACTTCTGGGATATGCGACGTCTTCTTAGGATTACTTTTTAAAATTACTGTCATACTATACAGATTGTCCCAAAACTAACCAAAAGTGTTTCTAACTCTTTTTCGCAAAATACGCCAAATTATGGATTTTGATGTCAAGTGTGTTCTAATAATTTTTTTCTAATAATTTCTAATAATTTATGAAGGCTGTTATTTTTTGTAATGCAAATTTCCCGTATTATTAAATAAGGTCCTTTGAGCATTACAATAACGATGTGTGCGGCAATTTTTAAAAGAAGCGGCAGATATCACGACTTTACTTATGGGGATACAAATAAGGAATTGTTTACAATACCTTTCCAACCACGCCAGATAATATGAAAATGCGTGTTAGAGACGATTTTAACAATATAATCTCGGAAATGTTGTCCAAGGATAGAGAATATTCGCCATAAAGCGTCAAAGAAAATGGTCAATGCAGTCATTAAATATCTAAATACACAGACCATGCACTAAACAAACTTATTAGTTAACCAGGATAAATTCCATTTTAATTAAAATGTAATATAAGTAATAGAAAAGTAAATTTAAAAAAATCTATTTAAACTAATCAAGTTATAGCCACTTAATATTGTTATTAGATTAGAATGAACGTTTAGCCACCCTGTGTATGATGTGTCCTGTGATTTTGTGTTCTTTTAAGAAATGTAATTTTGATACTTTTAACACTTTGGGGCAACCTGTATAACATAGAACAGTTACCATAATAGGACTTACAATAAATAAATACTTTTCTAATAAATTTCGCATGTATTGTCACGAAATTATCTAAAGCAGGCGAAAGAAACACAACTTTCTTAATATGTGGTGTTCTATATTTTCAGTGGTTTAAATTTCCAAACTACGTAATCTACTTCTTGTTCTCCACTCAGTCTAGTCTAGCCTTTTATTAGATGTGCGAGATTATTTAGCATTAATACTTGAAAAAAATGCAAAATGCAAATCTGAGTAACAATGATTTAAAAATATAAGTACTTAAAAATGAATAAATATTTTTCAATTGATTTGAAGTGGCAGTTTTTTGTATGCTTTTCGTTTGTTGGTTTTTGCATAATATCCATTGTTGAATTACTTAAAGATAAAACGACACAGTCATTGAACACGGCATATTAGGTACTGCTCGGCGCAATCAGATTTTCAATATTTTTGACTCACCTGTCGCGTGACACCACATATGAACAATTTTTATGACCTTACACAACAATTTTAAAATTAGCAAACCAAATGCTAAGCGGTGCAAAAAACAAATTAACAAATGCAAGAAAGTGAAAGAATTAATATAAATATAATTAAAACGAAAAATACCAGACACGCGAATGTTTACACATTTTTAAAACCATTGTTCGTTTAATCGCATTTCGTATACAATTACAATAATATGTTTGCGCAAAATTGCAAATCAACTGTCGCCGTTTTGATGCTGATTTTAATCTGGATTCGATTTTGTTCCAGGTGAAACCCCATTCAAATTAATAGGTTACGTACCCCCTGGCCTACCCAAAGTCAGAGTACCCCCTTTCGGTGTAACGCAAGTGGTTAACGCGACTGAGGTTTCCGTGTCGTTTATTGACATGGCCACTGAACTGGGAACGGGAGTCTTCGTCTTAGCTTTGATTGGACTCTTGGAAACCATCTCGATATGCAAGGCTTTCTGTAAGTTCAACACGTTTGATGAAAACTTTCTCTGATTTTCTATACTCTGATCAACACAGTGTGTCCATATTATTTATTTGAGATATTGAGTGAAACAGAAAATTTGGCTATTTTAGTTGTATGAGTATGTAGTAGTAGTAGCTTAAACAGGTTTTTTGTAGACAATATAATTTTTAAGATACCATCCAAAGTTATATACATTTTTTAATAGAACAGTAGATATTTTTTACTTAATAACGCCTTTTATACGCTTTTCGAGAATATATAATTGTTTGAAAATTTTTTTTTAATGTCACAAATTTTGACCATTTTAGAAAATATACTTCTATCCTCATCTCACCCCTCACTCCTCTTAACATATTTAAAATTGTTATAATTGTTTTCAGGAAAATACAAATTACATAATTTATATATATATATATATATATATATATATATATATATATATATATATATATATATATATATATATATATATATATATATATATATATATATATATATATATATATATATATATATATATATTTTCACGTATTGATTCACGGATGGCACTATATTCCGGGATATCATCCGTTCGCTTGTTGAACTTCGAAGTGTTTTCGGAGCGCGAGCATTGAAGATGCCAAGTGAGATTTTGGCGAAACGTCTGCAGGATTCCAGTCGGAGTTCAACAAGCGAACGGATGATATCCCGGAATATAGTGTCATCATATATATATATATATATATATATATATATATATATATATATATATATATATATATATATATATATATATATATATATATATATATATATATATATATATATATATATATATATATATATATATATATATATATATATATATATATATATATATATATATGTATTTCAAACGTACTAAAAAAATATGAGTACTCCACTGAATTCTGGTTGCTACTGTTTGCGTGGTATAATATTTTGGACACCCCTAACCAAAACTACACCAATTTTGGTAGTGCCTATAGAGACTTCAACATTGATTTTAAGAAAATCCACTTTGTTCCTGCTCCCCAAAAATACTAAAATGAGTTTCAAGGTGTGTTGTTTAGAAAGATCACTTAGTATTTGTAAGCATTGATTAATAAACCTTGTGGATTCCCAGATTTAATATATACCTAATCAGATAAATTATTACTACACTGTTTAGATTTGACATCTGACGTCTAAGTAGCAACTTATAAACAGGGAAACCATAATATTTAAATTTATATACCAAATGTTTTTCAGTACTCTAACAAACTAAGGATGGTGTTCATCTTCTTATCAAACGCACGCCAAAATGTCGTCAGTCACAGTTTTCGGGATATAGCCCATAAGTATTGCTTAAATAAATTTTGGTCATAAAAATTTCACCTTTCTTTCTTTTTAAAATGATACAATGCGCTTCTGGTGTAAAGTAACCCTTAAAAACGCAACATTATAAGAAAAACATAAGTTGAGCGTATTAAGGAATTTCACAAGCAAAATTAAATAAATTAAAAAGTTAATAAACATTTTTTATTCTGAACTTGATAACCTTATTAACCTTGATAAACTGATAATAATCAATAAATTCTACATGACTAAATAAACTGTTAAACACCGAACACACAATTGGCACTCAGTGAGAATTCTTAGAGCATTCATCAATATTACCGGTCTTTTTTACAAAGATCTAAATACCTGAATGCATTTTGTATCTAATGCACAATATTGGCTACTGTGTTTTTTAAATGACACCAAACGAAAAAATCTAATATTGAGAGGTCTGGCAACCTAGCAGCCCACCTTATTGATCAATTTTCACCAATTTTTCCTCATTGTTCTTACATGAATTCGCCTGATTGGCCTCAATACTTGCTAATACAACAATCTCATTGTCCTCGTCACTTTCTTCATTATACGTTTTAAAAGTATTTATCTTCTATTTATGATTCTATTCTATTCATATCTAACTTGCGTTTTTCATATAATATTAGGTTTTTAAGGGTTAATTTACATCAGAAATGCATAGATCATGTTAAATAGAAAAAAAGGAGCAATTTTATCAAGTTCAGTGTAAAAAATTTATATTTTGTTTAATTTAGCTTATAATTTTGCTCTTTTAGAGACTAGTTTTCTTTAGAATTGCTTAGTGTGATAGAACATTTTAAAGAGAAAAAAAGGTGAACTTTTTGCTACAAAAATATCATATTTGGCTATCTATCGAAAACGGTTTATTTATAAAATTTGCTGGCTGCTTCACGTAAAAATGTTTTTTGTGTAGTGGTTTTCATCATTTTTCGATCTTACTGGGTGTCTAAAATATGAAACCACCACAAAAAGTGCAAAATTTCTATTTCACCCTTGTATATCGGGACCGAAACAGGTTGGCACAAGACTCACAGAAGCCGCGAAATCCTGTGAATATATGTAATTTGGGTCACAGTGTACAGTTACATCAGTAAATTTGTGTCGTAACTGTAAAATAAAAACTGATAGTGTCGGAATAGAGTTACAGTCATAAAATAAAATAGAATTTTAACTGCAAACATTTAAATTTGAGCAAAAAGTTAGAGGCACTCTTGACAATGTCGACATTTTATACCCGCATTGATCGCTTCCATTCATTAAGTATTGCTTTTTTTTCTTTATCAAAATTGTTTTTGTTTTGTAAATTTTCCTTTTCTAAAGACATTGTCTTTTAAAAAAAGTTATTTTACCATAAAGAGAAATATAATCAATACTTTACCTTTGTGAAATCAGTGGTGTAGTTTGTAGCATAGCATTTTTTTTTAATCTTTTTTTTGTCGTAATATGATATAAGTTAGGTAGGTAATAATTCTTTCATGCATTATAGCTGATGGCAAACCTGTGGACGCTACTCAAGAACTGATAGCGATCGGATTATCCAACGTGGCGAATTCGTTCGTTCAAGCGTTCCCGGGGGCCGGGGCATTGGCGAGGAGTGCCGTAAACAATGCCAGTGGCGTGCGAACTCCCCTGGGCGGCCTCTACACCGGATTGATCGTTATATTATCTCTCCTGTTTTTCACACCATACTTTTACTACATTCCCAAGAGCGCTTTGGCTGCCATCATCATAGCGGCCGTTATTTTTATGGTGGAAGTGAAGGTCGTGAAGCCCATGTGGAGATCGAAAAGTGAGTGAAAATTTCAGTCATTGACAAATTTTTGCGTATCTTCAAATTTGCAATTACAATGATTACATTAATAGTTGTAAGCGTAACCTATAAATAAAAACAAATATTTTTGTTTTTGTCATGTACAGCGAGTCTCATCTTTTATGGTTTCACTGCGTATCTCCCTTATGAATAAAGCAAAAGTGTTGAGGTTTTCGTGATCGAAGGTTGTTTTCTTATGAAATATGGCGCAATAGCGATTTTGCCATTTTTTGTACTTGTCGCACGTCGCTTGTATCCCGGTTATGCGTTACCTTATAGAAGAGCTAAAAACTGAATAGTTTTCTTTACGTAGGATCCATGGGTGTGGTCAGTTTTTGTTCTCAAACCCAAAAATTTTGATATATAAACACACTATTACTTTTTATGGTTTACCCTGTGTTTAATACTTCTATTAGTTTTTATCAAAAACATTTAATACCAGAGTTATTTCAAATACTTTATCTTTTGTTTATAAGCAGGCCATGGAAAATACAGGTTTTTGTGTGCAATATTAAAGGCCCATTGATAACAAACTAACTAACCAATTTTTGCGAATTTACATGTTTTTGGTTTGCCATAGAAACTTCTAATTGCTCATAATTGTCATACATTTTGGGTTAACATAACATAACCAAAGGAGACAGAGGCAGAAATTCAAATAATTATTTTCGAAATGTCGTAACTGCTTGACAACTTAATTTTATTAGGAAAATGAACTTCTTTTTTCCAAGGGGTACTCACAAAAAAAGAAAAATTAAAGATATCTATATACTTTGTATTGTTTACATATTATTAAAGTTATTAAATATACAGGGCGTTCTATTTAAAAAAAAACACAAGTTTAGTTTGTATTTCAACATTTATTTCAGAAGAAAATCGACTACGATACTGGATGCTACCTAAAAAAGGATAACCAGAACAGTTTTCACCTTTGTGGGTAAAGCTTAACGACATGCAAAGGATCTAGAAATACAACTTTTTCAAAATTTCCCTGTATCTAAAAATCCTAGATAGCTATGACATTTTCTTTGCACCATCTTTAATTTCATGAAAAAAATAGCCTTGAGTCGTGGAAAAAGGCAACACGCTAGCTTTATTATTAATGGGGATAAGCCAAAAACTATCAAAATGTAAATACTGCTGCAATGGATAGCAAATATTTCTTTGAAGTAACCAAATTTGTTATGATTGAGTTCAAACGATGACAATCCAATTTCTTTCCATATTATTTTATATTTGCTACTAGAAAATTATCCCTATACTTAATTTTTTTTCAGAGAGCGATTTGCTACTGGGCCTTGTCACTTTTATCGCGTGCCTGGTTTTGCCTTTAGAAATTGGAATTTTGGTTGGGATAGGTCTAAACCTGCTTTTCATACTTTACCACGCCGCCAGACCAAAAATCTCAATCGACAAGCTCACCGTAAGTATCGTCAAGTAGTTAATTGTGATTAGCACCATCAGTTAGTACAATTAAATTGTTTTTTTGTTCTGTTATAACAAATGCCAATAACAAACATGTTATTTCAACTTAACTTCAACAAAGATTATTTACGATTTATGTTTATAGATTAACGAATTAAATTATTTGAGAATTTTGACATATGATTTATTTGACATTCAAGCTTTAGTTATTTTCTTAGTTTTATCTATTGCTTATTTTGTTCTAAAATAGATGTTAATTTAGAATTTCATTTAATGTGAACTATACGAAAGTATACCCATTTCTATATAGATAGCGGTATAATAATGGCATAAAAGGACAATGAGCCTTAGAACGTTTTAGCACTTAAAAATGGTAATTAAGTATACGTAACTTATAAGGAATTTCGTACCATAGTCTGCCTTGTTCTTGGTTAAAAAAAAAATCTCAAGCTCTCAGTCTAGTATAGCACAGGCGACTGTATGACTCAGTATAGGTACTCAATATGTACAGTGGTTTTTTTAGTGCAAGATTGGATGATTTGAAGGAAAAAGTTTGTATTAATGTAGGTCCACAGTCGCTTTCTTTTTGATACACAGACTGCAGAAAATATTTAAAAAAAAAACGGTTTTTGCTCATTGTTTTGTAGAGGCCACAATGCATGGAGATACTTTTTTTGATTTCAAATTATTATTCTACTTTCACTAGTGTTGTCGGTGTGACTATGAAAAATGGCGCGCCACTATTTGTTTCAAAAATAAATTAATTTTTCAATTATTTTTTTTAGTAAAACTGCTCTGTTCATTTTTATTGTCCAAAGGAGCATTTATGTGATTAAGGCTAGAAGCTTATAATTGTAAAAGAGTACCAGAAAGCGATTCTACCATCATCATGTTTCAATCCAAAAATCATCAATTATACAAAATCATATTTTTTTCATCAAGGTTGTACTCTTTCAAAAGGACCCAGTCGATTCTAAACTGACACAAAGTACAAATCTCCAAAAATATATGGAAGCATAACTAACAACTATCAATAAAAAATTGTTCCATGTGGGATTCGAACCCAGTAATATTATAATACGATTATTTCACATTAAATTTTATTGCCAGTTTTTCTATGCCTGTGCCATGCTTACCCGACGCTTCTGGGAAAGGAAAAGAATTGTTGTTTCTATACTTCGCGAGGCACTACCAAATTTCAACGAAATATCTATTCAAAGTAAATTCTAAAAAGAATCGCACCCTTAAGAATCGGCATCTTATTACGAAACACCGTGTAAGTTTCGACGAGGAAAATTAAGCATAAGGTGCCTTGGTATGAAAACTAATGTCCGTTTTAGCCTTAATTGCATTCTATTCAACATCCAACGAAAAGTATTCAATTAAGAATTTTGCTTCGAACCAATAACTAATGTAAATGGCACCAAAATTCCAACTTCATTCTTTTTCCAGACACACGAGGGTACCGAATACCTCATGCTGACTCCCGATCGATGCCTAATTTTCCCATCAACAGATTACGTAAGAAACCTGGTGACCAAGCATTCTATTCGTCAGGGAATCCCCGTAGTGATAGACTGTTCTCATATCTACGGTGCAGATTACACGGCAGCGAAAGTGGTGGAGACATTGACTACGGACTTTGCTGCTCGAAAACAACCGCTCTTTTTCTACAATCTGAAGCCATCGGTCAGCGCGGTATTTGAAGGGGTATCGCCCAAGGACTTCAAAGTGTTCTACAGTACGCAGCAAATCGAAGAGTTGCTGAAAACCGACTCTACGAACCCAGGTACGGATTCTAAAACGGCGGACATCGTATGATCTCTTGAAAAATATTAGTGCTGAGATCAGAGCCTCTATATATACATAGTTCCTAAAGCCACCGAGTGTATAGAAGATACCGTTCAACATTCTATCTCAAAAAATGTTTAGTGAAATTCGTCTATTGAGTTTGTTATAAGCGACGATGATCAAAGGAAAAAAAAAGATGTCTTGCCATCAAGTACCTAGCGATGATGACCTTAGTGTTTAGATTATTTTTTTATTTATTTATATAAGTTTTATGTACCTAATTGTATATTGTAAATATTTCTCTATAAAGTTTGTAACGTAATATGAACACTGTGATACTAATAAAACCCAAATTTTATCGTTTTTATTTCATTTCTTCATCGCCATCAGTTTCCCTATGCGATCGTATCGATCGTAAAGTTTCCTAGTGCTGAGGATAATTCTTCACATTGGCATAGCAAGTCTGAGGAATTGCTTGGCCTGTCTTTGTCCTGGCTCTCCACCATTGCCGGCATCCTCTTTCCATCCATTTTTTGACGGCCGATTTCGCAATGGGATTAGCCACCCATTGCAATGCATTGTCTTGTAATCACAGGGTTTTTTGGTAACCAGCAGAAATAGAACTTTGGAGGTTTCGTGAACATGTGCCAGTATTTCGAGATACAGGGTGAAATAGAAATTCAGTCAATACTATTGAGCAGCTACAAAATGCCAGAAATTTAGATCTCTACAAAAATTAACATTGTGTGCTTAGTAAGTTTATCAACATTATTAAGTTTACCAATTTTAGAGGGAAATATCGTTATTAATAACACAGGTCTACGAAATTAACTTTTTGACAGAGGTTTTCATTTTGGTAGGCTGATTTCGAAAATCCTATGCCTTTATTTATATCACGTAAGAATTTTTGTTAATATCAGAGGCAAAAAAACAATATTTTTAAAATAATTTATTTTTTCTTATCCCCTTCTGTAATAGTATATTATGCAACAAGTGCGGTAAACGGCATTTGACTCACGAGTTTATTTGACACGAGCGGAGCGAGTGTTTAATGGACGACTTCAAAATTTTACCGAACGTCTGCATACTATACTTTTTCTACGACCGTCAGTTTTTGGCTATATTTTCGCAAAACAACACAACATGCACTGACATGAACGTCAGAATTGACAAACGTCAAAATTTAGCAGATAAAAATTGCTGTTAAAAAGCGTGTATTTTAAAATGGCAATTTTTTTGATCGTAGACACCATGTAATTTTTTCGAGCATAATAAGCTTCATTATTCTGGTGCATGTTTTTTTTAAAGGTTGTGTTTTAAATATTGATACAATAAACGATACTTTATGCAAAAATGTTTTTACGACGCATATAATAACTAGAGGGTGAATAAAGAAAATCCACAATGCGAATACTAGAAACGAGAGAAATGAGGATATCTATTTGAAGCGCGGAATAATTATATTAATTCGTGTGTTTTCTAAAACCAATTTCTGTGCAATTCTTTTGCATTTAGAGCTATTGCTTCTTGAACATTTTTTTCCAAGATATTACCTGTGGGATATCTCATAAAGTTATTATTTGTACTTTAAACAGGTACCTTTCGTGATTTCGTCTTTATATATGTTAAATAAGTTTATGCACAAATTTGGGAAAAAATAGCTGGTAATTTTATCTTCCAAATTTTCTGCAATTTGGTAGTGGATACGTTGCAATATTTACATTAAAAAATACACACAGAAATACATGTAGAAATTGCATCGTCTCTACTGGGCTACTCAACTCGATTTAATGTCTAGGGTTGGCAACCATTACCGAAATCAGCTGATCGTCACAGTTTTATCTGTCACCACATAATTTGCACAATATTTTGATATAGGAATTTCACAATTTGTAACAACCATCGTTTCATTCTTTTTTCATTTCAATTAATAGTGCCGAATCTGTTAAGTATGTCGTGTCCGTGGGCGAAAATTGAAAAACCGGAAACGGTTAACTTATCGGAAATTATGTCCGAGGAAGTTGCTAGAGATCTTCAAGATAAAGAAAACAAAAAATACGCTCAGGTGCGCTCTGCTAGCGAACAATCCAATTCATTCGAAGTTCCTCTCGATATTCCTGAAGACGTCTTAGCAGCTGTATCTGAGAGCACCGAAGAAAGTGATGCTTTAATAGCGCACATGCTTCAAATGCAATTCGACAAAGAATATGACGATATGCTGACGAAAACTGAGAAGAAATACAACGGCGATTGTAAAATCTCTGTATCATTTGAAAATTTCCGAAGAGCACCGCGTAATTCAGGTAATTTTTTTTTCTACATTAACTTTATCAGTTATTTTCAAAATTTCTTAAGATTTCGAAAGTGAATCTGAGGAGGATGAAGTGGAGGACATTATGGAGAGAAAGGATTGGGATAGATTCGATATCTTGCAGAGGGAAGTGGCCTCTATACCACCATGCGGATACAAAGTCCAAGAGAATGGTATTCTCACAAAGCATGACTTGGTAAACAGCGGAAGAAAAAATGCCTGTAAACTCTTATCTTTTCCACCAGAGTTTCGTACTGGTGATGGTGAAGATTTTGATTTAAAATTGTCCAATAAAGTTTTTAACAGGTTTGCTCCCTTAAATATACTAATACAAGGGGGAAACCACTTAGGAAATACCAAGAAAATAGAGTAAAAAAATCTTTATTTAATTATTGTTCTTAATTTGAATTTCAATTTTATTGTCAACACAAAAGTCTTGTGTTGCATTGTGAACATAGAATATTTCAGCATTTCATTTCCTTTTATAACTTGTATAAATTTTAAATTTTAGTCATTTAGATATTTTAAAAATGATGTTTTTATTGTGTGTCAATTTCTTTATACAAAAAAATTACCCTAAAAATAGTCATAAAAGGGAATACAGGAAGTATTTAGAAAGTACAGTAATACAGGGAAATATTTGGGTAATATGAGGAAATATTTATTCAAATTTTGGAAGGTGATTTCCCCCTCTCAGTAATAAATCAGTGGAGTCTCAAGAGATCAGTTTTATCAAGATTTTTTTAGTTTAAAAATGCATTCACGAAATGAGCAATTTAGAAGTTACAAACACAAAGATAAAAAGGAAGACAGGGCAACAGCAGAATTCGGATTAGACAGTTTTACTAGATTATTGCTATATAAGATGATTAATAATCAGCAACTGTTGGAACGCATTAATGGGGTTATTAGTATTGGTATTAAAAAGGACTCGGGTTTGCAATATCATAACCTAATTAAAATAATCTCGTAGGTAAAGAAGCTGTTATTTTACATGCAGAAACTGACCAAGCGAATCCGGAAGCTCAATCCTTGCCCAAAGAGTGTGTTATAAAAGTGTATAAAACAACTTTATCAGAATTTAAAGATAGGGAAAAGTACATCAATGATGATTACCGTTTTAAGGATAGAATTGGTGAGTTCTCGGCTTTTTTTAATAAAAAAATCTTAATTAAAGGATTTCGAAGGAAAACAAAATGCTAGAAAGATGGTTCACCTTTGGGCTGAGAAAGAAATGGCCAATCTAACCAGGCTTCATAAAGCAGGAATAAGATGCCCAGATGTAATTAAGTTAAAGCAGCATATGCTCGTTATGTCATTTATTGGAGACAATAACCGGCCTGCGCCAAAACTGAAGGACGGTCCAAAAAAATTTGAAGATTTGGCAGCAGCATATGATGAGGTTAGTACGTCATTTGTGTATAAAGAAGAAACAATTCGGCACTTAATTTGCTCTAGGTGACAGAAGGAATGAAAACCATGTACCACCAAGCAAATTTAATTCATGCTGATTTATCTGAATACAACATTCTATGGCACGAAAAGGAATGTTATTTTATAGATGTCAGTCAGGCAGTGGAGCCAACCCACGAGAATGCATTCAGTTTTTTATTTAGGGATTGCTACAACATATCAAAGGTTAGCATAGTGAATATTGCAAATTTGAAAAGATCTGATTATTCAGTTTTGTGTAGTTTTTTTCAAAAAAAGGAGTTCCCAATTTACTTTCACCCGATGAACTGTTCAGAGATATTACCGGTGTGGAGTACAGTGATAAACTGGCGCTAGCATCTATACAAGAAGCTTTTAAGATGAAACCGCACCTCGTCGACAAACCTGGGTACGAACCCACCACCAGCTTCGACACTCTGTGGGATAAGGCACAATCTGGTGAACTACCGATTGTCGAGAAGGCCATTAAAGATGAACAGTTGGAACTGGTAGAACCTCCACAAGCATAATAAATTGTTTCACCATTATCTTTTTATGAGGATTATACTTATATGCATATGTTTGATGAATTTTTGATTACATTTTTATTTTTACTTTGTGTTTTTTCTATATATCAAAAGGGCAGTTTTCAGTTTTCTCCACCTAATAAAGAATTTAACGATGTGCGAAACTGAACCGGAGAAAGTTTGAACACGCGCACATTAAATTGAAATGTATTCGAATCCGATCCTTTAAATAGTTCAATATTTTTCACAATAAAACATTTACATTTATTACCTTAGTCATACTTGACCATAAAAATTGGAAATATTTTTTTCAACTATTAAAAAAAAGTATTTTACCGGGTTTTGTTCTTGCAAATTTGAACTACTTTCTGTTTCTGTTGAAATAATTGTATTAAAATATTTGAAACTCCGGAGAAATATTTAAAAAACTTAAAATGTTTGAAATAGCGCCCTCCAGCGGGAGCAGTATGTTTTTTAATAAGCAAGATTTCCTATTTGAAACGAGAATTTGGTCAAATAAGTTGATATAACTTATGTTATAGATATTTTAATTAGTTAGACATCTCTGTTTCCTACGCCATTATTTAATGCGATAAACCAAAAAGATGCAGAATTTTACAAGGATTCGAGTAGTTATTATTAGGTTAATAACACTATCCGGTAGTTTCCAACCCTACATTTAGGTTGGTAACACTAGTAAGCTATGAAGCTCGACTTTGTTTTCTGCCTTCACTAGTAGTCTGGGCTGAACCTCGCCAAAGAGTATGTAAAATGAATACTAATGTTTTTTAAATCGTTTTTTTAGTGAAGCAAGGTGAAATGTAGTAACCAGCAATAAATCTAATACAACTCATAATAAAATATTATTTCTACCCATGGATATCAAAATCTTTATAGACAAAGCGACGTCAAAGTACAATTAAGAAAATTTTGATAGACACATTTAGGAATTTAGGAATCAAACGTAAGGGAATAAATCTTCAAAAACACTGTTTTTAAATAATTTTGGGTTTCAATGCCGCTGCAGACTCACCGGTAGCATATGATATGCTTTAATAGCACGATACCTGGATCCCTTTCATAGTACATGTACATGTGCAAGTACACTATATTTCTTGTAAGGGTATTCATTCTTTGTGAATATCCACATCTGATTTAAAATAAATACTGGTGTTTTTTTTTTACAAAAGTTGGGATAAGAGATGAGAAATATAGTGATCGAAGTTTAAACACGCCTAAGAATTTTACATGTATGGAGCAATCCATTGACTTTCCATTTAAATTAACATGAAGATAACGAATATGATACAAGGCCAGCCTTTTCTATGTTCAATTTAAATTTTTTTTAATTACATCATTTTTTCATCTGTCCCGCAGCCTCGATGCACCTTACTGAAAACACTGACAAATGAACTAGGCCGCACAACAGAGCTTATCACGTCAGCATTCACTTGTTTGTTCAAATCATTCACATAAAGGAGAAGGAGATTACTTGTATCACCTGTTCAGATTGTGAGAACCCATCTTTTTGTAAATTATCGTTTTGAAAATAGCTGATTGAGTTGATTTGGATTTTCTAAACCCATACTGAGGATCCGATTCTTTTGTTCACTATGTTTGTACATTCTTTTAGCGCAAACCTTTACAACTCGTGTACAGGGTGAGTCAACAATAGAGTAAAAAATCATTATCTCATTGGTTTCAAAAGATATGAAAAAAGTTGTAAAGGTTTTTAAAATTCACAGTTTAAGATTATTTAAAGGTATACAGGGTTAACCTAAAACACATTTTTTTTAAACGGAACACTCCATTTTTAAATTTTCTTTTGAACTCGTTTTAAAATTCTTTTTTCTTTTTTGTTAATAATAAGCCGTACCTATACCTAACAGGATTTCCAATATTTTAATTTTCCTAAAAAAATTCTTTTCACATTTCACATTTACAAAAATTTGCAATATCACCATTCGATCTCGTATATTTAATATCATTATTCGAACATGACTAAAACATGATTAAAAGATACGTGCAACAGAATTTGAATTAGATGCTACAGGGTTTTTAAAATAAACGAATATATTTTGGGTTTTCTTAAATAGCATATATATTATTTTTTCTGAAAGATCTTACAAAAACATAAAACTTTTATTAAGTATGTCATGCATATTTTTATTATTTTGATATTTATTTTAAGTTTTTTAATATTCTTCTTCTTTCTGTCTAAGACTATTGCTCTAACATTTGTTGGTTATGAAAAAATAACAATGAAAATTTTTACTTGACAATCGAGTAAATACATTCATTAAATTTATTTTGATGTCGGTAAATTAAAAAAAAGTAAGTATGGACTTTCTTGAAGCGGAATTAATATATATATATATATATATATATATATATATATATATATATATATATATATATATATATATATATATATATATATATATATATATATATATATATATATATATATATATATATATATATATATATATATATATATGATTCATATACTGGGTGAGGCGAAAAAAAAATCGTTGTCGGCAGTAAGATGCAACGCAAAGCACCTTGATAGAAGCATACCAACTAGACTCTTTAGTGTTTAATGGAAATGGTTTGATGCTAGTCGTAGAAAAATTGATAAACCGGAATGAGGAAAAAAAATTGAAATTTTACTTCCAAGTTCCAGGTGAGCAGCCGTCAAGTAGATAGCCAATGTGATGCATCTTAATCTACCACTAATAACACCACTAGAAAACACATTTGGAACTTCTAAATTTAACTCAACGTCTTCAAGAAGTTGTTAATATTGAGAAGTTCGAGAGTTTTGGAATAATCATTACTCACAGGAATGGATCGGTAAAGGTGGATTCATTAGCTGGCCTCCTCGATCATATGACTTAACGCCTCTAATTTCTTTTTGTGGAGTTATGTTAACGATCATATTCATGTGAATCCCCCTACAAGATAGATAGGGAAAATAGGATTCGCGACGCATATCTATGGATATCCAAGGAAAAGGGCATATTTTTATAACAATTAAATTTAATATTTTAATAATATTTATTATATATTATAATTAATATTTTAATATATTCGTTTATTGTGAACACCCTGTACCATCTAATTCAAATCCCGTCGCCCATATCTTTTCATCTTCGAATGACGCTAATAACAAATATGAGTAATCCTACCTTCTAAAAAGACTGGCCCCATTGTAATTTGGTGTGAAACTTTTTTTAGAAAAATTAAAATATTATTATTGTTAAAAGTTGATGAATTTTAAAACTAATTCAAAACAAAATTTTAAAATAAGGTATTCTATTAAAAATAAATATATGTTTTATTCGTCACGTTCTTTTGAACCACCATTTGAACCACATACTTGAAAATCATTTTAAATTTTGCATCGTCAAAATCTTCACAACTTTGGCATTTACCATTTTCTCCTAACTCTTAAAACCAATGAGATAATGGACTTTATCATTGACTTCTCCTTACACTTATTCAGGGTGGATGTCAACAAGATTATATGGACCGACGTGATTGCCAACATCCAAAGAGGGCAGGCGTTGACCGAAAAAGAAGGACACGTACGACAAAAGAATAAAATAAAACGCATACAATATGATGCTTCTATCCACGATCCTGTAATAAAATCCCTAAAAGTGAAAATACAATTAACATACTCAACTGTCACGGATTAAAACTAAAACGGGAGAGGCTTTGTAACAAAATAGAAACCCTATAGAATATATACATAAAAGAACAGTCGAAAATGACTACCAGAAGGGACACCACCCGATATAACACTGACACAAATTCTCGTTGCTCGTGGCTTGCTTTATTAGCAAATCGACTTGCTTTTGGATGGTCAACGTTTCCTCGCCGTGAAAATCCGTACCCATCAGCTTGTCCCTGACGCGATTGATAATACGGACCGCGTTTTTGCTGACCGTTTCCGGCTGAGAACTGTCATGCGGAATTTCTGCAAAGAGCGATCTTTTGTACGTCAACATGCTCAACGATTCGATCGGATCGTATTCTTGCGACGTTCCGGTCAAAAACGAACCGATCTCCCCGGTGTTCGACTTATTCCTGTAGTTAATATCCATGAGCCGCCAGTTTAGCAACGGATCGTACACGAACGCTTCCAATACGGCCATCAGGCTGTCCTTGTTCCTGTGAAGGACGGACATGACCGACTCGCAAGTCCTCCGATAAGTGCCTTCTATTCCGGTGACCTCCATCGCGTTTATCAGCATCCTGGTTAGCCTGAACGGGATTTTCTCTGGGAATTTGTCCCTAGTCATGGCGACTTCGAAACAATCGCCGAAATCGATGTGAAGGATTTTGCCGCTGAGTCGGTCGAGCATCAGGTTCGACGGATGTCTATCGCCCAAACCCAAAATATACCCTACCATCGACATGACCGCCAACGACCTTATGTAATTCGTACGTCGATCGAACCAAACTTCCGACGACGGACTCTTGAGCCACAACAACTTCGCCAAGTCATCTCCGTGCGTATGTTCGAGCGCGTGCTCGAACACTTCCACTTTTTGCATCACGGTCAGGTGGTCGTAATCGGGAGCCATCCGCAACATTATTCTGTGTTCTATATTCAACAGGATCTTCTTTTTGTCTCGGTAATCTCGTATCAAGGTGTGCAGCGTGTCGCAATGGGGCACCCACCCTATTAAACCAGACTTGGTGCTTAGAGGGATCACCACGTAACGTTGTATGGTTAGGTTTCGTCTAAACGTATCTGGGTCCTTTAAAAGCAGCGTGTTGACCAAGCCGAAAAGTTGCATCACCCGCTCGTCTTGCCTAAGGTCTTCGTGACCTTTTAACAAGAACATGTAGTCCTTTCCGTTACTGCCGCGTATTACGAGTTTCCTCGGGCGCTGTTTTGAAGTTATGACCTACAAAACGAACAAAATTGGCATTGAAATACAAAATTGTTGCGCTAACAAACAATAAATGATAGTCATATTAGGCGTCTTCATGAATGTTACGCTAATAGTATTATATACGGGGTGCTTCACCTTAGGTACAAGGGAGTGGAGGGTGAAAGTTTCCGCCCTAACCAAGATTTTTTTATCTTTTTTTTGCTTTATTTATTTTATTTATTTTTCAGCATTATCTCCATCAACGTTGATACATTGCTCATAACGGCGTTCTAATTTTGTTATACCAGTTTTAAACGTAGATTCGTCAAACTCCTCAAAATACTAATTTACAGCTTCGATGACTTTTTCGTTGCTCTTAAATTTTTTACTGTTGTTTTTTGAGGTTACGAAACAGGTAATAGTCTCTGGGGGCTAAGTCTGGAGGTTAGAGAGATTGCGGCATCAATTCAAACTTCAATTCGTGGATTTTGGACATGGCACACGCAAGTGCGTTATCGTGATGACGCAAATTTTTGTTCTTCGCCAAATGAGGTAGTTTAATTTGCACCTCGTGCTTCAAACGTTGCAATATCTCTGGGTAGTATTGACCAGTGATAGTCTTACCCCTATGAATGTATATAATTTCTCTCGCATCCCAAAAAACAGTAGCCATAACCGTGTTCGCCGATAGAATTGTTTTAGCTTTCTTAGTGATGGTCCCAAGTCTCATCAACAGTTATGATGACAATTATAGACTACGCCTACAAAGCGCCAAATTGCCGATAAAAATGTTTTTGCGAATCAATTCTTGGTCGAGCGTTAGCAAACGCAGCATCCATCTTGCACACAGCTTTTCCACACGTTCAGCTGACATCTTCCAGGTCTCAGCTATCTCATGCCCTTTCAACCTGCGATCTTCCAACATTATTTGATGGATTTTCTCAAAAAGTAGATCTAGTGGCACCACCTCTTGGTCCGACCGAAAACTTTTCACCCCTCCCTCATATTTACACGAACGATACATTGAATTGTTGTTGGAAAATTTTATTAGTTCCATAAGCGGCGATGCGACGTTGCACTTTCGAAAAAGAATGGGATTTCAAAGAAAATTTAGTTTAAATGTTGTTAAAAAGTAATAAAGTAAGTATTTTAATTAACGTTGGATCATTGAATACTGCAGATGGGGCACCGGCTGAAGCGATGTTACAAGAAATATACGAATCATTTAATGACTACTAATTCCGACATTTGCGGCGGTGGGATTGGCCGGCACGATCGTCCGTTCTTACACCATTAGATCTGAAACCGGCTCAGAACACGGAAGAGTTACGTCATCGAATTGTACGATACTTTGAACAAGCAGATCTATTGGACATAAAGAAACCTACTACAATCAGTCCACTGCAACGAATTTTAAAGTGTTTAAAACGCAAGAGTGAACACGTCGAATACTTTTGTATGCAATTTTTATTTTAAGTATCTAATATTTTGTTAGTGTAAATAGTTTTTTAAATGTTTTTCGTAAAATGGTTTGTAAAGTTTTTGTTACATTCTTTCAAATTATGTCTTGTTCATGCGTTGTAAATTCTACATGTTCTAGTTATAATGTTGTCCATACATAATAAACGAATGTTTTCAAAAAAACTTATAGAACTAATTTCGATATTAAGAAATAATGTACAGTACCTCCCAAAGCTACGTCGAAAAGTTTATCTTCCTACTGGCTCCAGTATCGTAAGAATAAAAATTTAATTGAAAGTACGTTTTAGTTAGTTGGTCAAAAATAAAGAAAATCATTTCTCGAAAATTACTAAAGATAGGTATGGGGACGTATTATTCAAATATAATTATAAAATAATAATATACATGGTGTCCCATTTAAATTTTCAATATTGATGCTACTTTTTCACGATGCAGCAACGCAAATATTTTAACTCGATAGAGCATCTCTGTTTATGTAACTAACCAAATTTTGGGAACAATCTAATTCTTACCACAAATGTCTAAGGCACCATCAACCGTGAAACACCCTATATATCATAAAGCTACTAGAAATACAGGGTGTTATTGAAATAACAGTGTATGATGACCGAATCTCATGGGCAAGAGATCAAAGGCAAAAATACTAGTTATAACTGTTACTTTCCGCGTTTAGTAAGCTCAAATATGAAAAAACCTGTTTCAGCGGACTTATTAATTTTATTTATTAACAGTGCACAGGGTCCCCAATTCACTAATTCACTAATCACATAATGTCAAACCCCAAGAAATAATTCGTTTCATTATTATATTATCATTCGTCCAAATATGATTAAGCCTTCTAATTATATAAAATTTACCCATCAGTAGTTCGCCATTAGTTGAATAAATCCAAATTATAAAAATGAATCACCAGTGCAAGTACTCTTTCTTTCGGTAGCGCAAAAGGTTCTTGCTTTAAACAAAATTACTGAACACTCCAGAATTTATTATTTTCAAAAAAAGATACATTAAAAAGTTCTATACAAATTATTCAAGTCACAGTTTCATTTAGATAGATAGACATTTTATTAGTACTGCACATACAGGAGGCCGAGCCAAATGTCTACAAGACACTGGATAAAATGACAAAATTGTGGCCTTTATGTGAATAAAAAAAGTCTTCGGTTAACAATAAATTACACTGAACACACAATAACGCACACATATGGCCCATAACACCGTTCTATATCACAGAACAGAATATTGTAGCAATGGAAACCACAATTGTTTTTAAATTTACACAATCTATTTTAGATTGGACTGCATTCCTTACATTGTAAGAAATTTCGATCAAATCCGCAATAAACTCCGATTGATTCGCAAACTCACAAACAATTCCTTCACAAATTTTGTTTTCAATCAAAAAACAACCGTTGTAGGATCATCTCTGTTTTACCTTTACTTATTTGTGATCGTCCCTTTAGAACGTAGACGGTGTGGCAATAAAAATAATAAAATTAATCTGTAATTCTTCACTGGCATATTAACAGTAATTTTAAACCTAATTAGGCCTATTAATGCTCTGCTGTTTTAACTAAGATTTAACAACCTTTTATATCTTGAGGTATGTAACTTAAAACTAACCAAGAATAACTGTTTCAAGAACTATGTAATAAGATCAAATGTGGGTCAATGCCCAATTTATTATAATGTGCAGTCTGTAATAAATGTGCAGTGAGAAATACTGATCAACTTTAATAGATATATTACTTAATGAATATATTATAAAATAATACCGGATGAGTTGTAAAATATGCACATAAGAAGCAGCGAATCTATTAACCATTAATTTCTTATTACTAATTAATTGAAAGCGGCGCAGTTTGTAAACACAACATACCCGAGTCAAAACTAACCAACTTTATTGTTGGTAAGTGTTGTACCATAACCATGTGCTAGATAAAACAGAATTTTGCGGTGTATTTATCTAAATTAACAAGAAATATTTGCTGTTTAACAGTTACGGTCATAATCATCTTGACACTACAAGTCAGAACTGAGCAAGGACACACACACACACACACACACACACACACACACACACACACACACACACACACACACACACACACACACACACACACACACACACACACACACACACACACACACACACACACACACACACACACACACACACACACACACACACACACACACACACACACACACACACACACACACACACACACACACACACACACACACACACACACACACACACACACACACACACACACACACACACACACACACACACACACACACACACACACACACACACACACACACACACACACACACACACACACACACACACACACACACACACACACACACACACACACACACACACACACACACACACACACACACACACACACACACACACACACACACACACACACACACACACACACACACACACACACACACACACACACACACACACACACACACACACACACACACACACACACACACACACACACACACACACACACACACACACACACACACACACACACACACACACACACACACACACACACACACACACACACACACACACACACACACACACACACACACACACACACACACACACACACACACACACACACACACACACACACACACACACACACACACACACACACACACACACACACACACACACACACACACACACACACACACACACACACACACACACACACACACACACACACACACACACACACACACACACACACACACACACACACACACACACACACACACACACACACACACACACACACACACACACACACACACACACACACACACACACACACACACACACACACACACACACACACACACACACACACACACACACACACACACACACACACACACACACACACACACACACACACACACACACACACACACACACACACACACACACACACACACACACACACACACACACACACACACACACACACACACACACACACACACACACACACACACACACACACACACACACACACACACACACACACACACACACACACACACACACACACACACACACACACACACACACACACACACACACACACACACACACACACACACACACACACACACACACACACACACACACACACACACACACACACACACACACACACACACACACACACACACACACACACACACACACACACACACACACACACACACACACACACACACACACACACACACACACACACACACACACACACACAATTCTTGGACATTGGAGAAAAAACAATAGTGTGAATTTAAATATTGTTTTGGAAGATTCTTATTTAATGTTTTGAATGACATTGAGATTTCAGGTTTGGGGGTTACATTTTGTGCCTGAACGGATACTTAGTCAAAGGAATTTTTTAAGAATTTTCAATTTTCTGGGGTATATTTAAACCTTTTGCTATAATTTAACGCAAACTTTTCGGTTTTAGTATTGCACCATAGATGTTGCTCTGTATAACTTTTTTTGCGAATTTTTCAAGACGAAGAAATAAATTTAGACTGCTAAAGCAACTCTATACTACATTTATTACAACATAATTATGCACTTTGCATATATAATTTCAAGTTTTCAACGAAGATGTAACTGTTAAGAATTCCATTTTGTTGTAGTTAGGTTGTCAAATTTTAATAATAATCGGTATGTTTGGTCATGGAATCAATAAAATTTGGATCAAGTATTTGAATACCTGTATGCAATGAAAGCAAAAAATAATATTTCGCATTTTGTAGCATAATATTGATTGGGTATTATCAATTTCAAGCAAATATAGTTTATATTTTACATTTATTTTTAGTTTTACCTAATTTGCTTTCAACTGGTGAACAAAATGACACAAAATTTAAGCGCGATGTTTCAGAGATAAACTTTTATGTGCACACACAAACCATATGTAATGCTAGTTGAAGACTATCGCCACGTCAAAATTTTGCGCAAGCCATAGTCAGAATCTGTTTCGTTATCGTGAATTTGAATCGATCGCTCTATATTTTATTTAAAATTATTTTTAACTTAGCTTAACAAGAATCGTTACTAGCCATTAACTAAATTTCATTGCTATGGTTAAACCATAATATTCTAACCAAACAACTGTCGTCACGCTATTTTGGTTTGGTGTTAATTATTTGACTGTCGTCCAATGTTGCTGTTAGTTTTCAGCAATTTAAATGTGTAGAAATAAGCAAGTATTTGGTTAGTTTTGGTTCGTCTTTGTTATTTTTGTAAACTTGGCAAAGATGGACTCTTCGCAAACACTTAACTTAGTTTGTATGAGAAACTCATACTTGGATTTAGAAATTTTTGACAAATGCAGATTCTAAAATAATATCCAAAAGGGTAATATTTTCCAAGTTCAAGCTTGCACAAATACGAATTGTGATTCGTTAGGTTTACAATAGCTTAAAGTGTGCTATTTGGGTAACAACTAACTTTTGTTTGTTTTTTTCTTTGTTAACTCACATAGCACTTAATTCTTTAACTTTTATAATTAATTATGAGTTATTAGTATTTATAGATATGTATTTAGTATGTGACTGGCATATTTGTTTATCAGAATGCCTTTAAATTACCTGTTAAAGAAGGCAAAAATAATTAAAATCGATTTGGTAGTAAAAAATATATCTAGAACAATTCAATGCCCAAGTTCCCCCATTAACTCATTCCATTATGATTTGATTTGGCTCCGCCTATTTGAACTCATTGGCATGATAAGTTATAATATTAGCTATGTAAAAAGTTACCTTAAATCACCCCTTAAATCACCCCTTTAATATTAAGCTTTCGTATTTTCAAAACAAGTAAGTTAACTTACCTCCAAGGATCTATGGAAATGGTCGATCCTAACGAGCGACTGACCGGGTGCATAACTACCCGGCACGGCCAACTCCAAATCTCTACAACCCAACAGATTCGGCGATACGTATTGCAAATCCAACGATGTTAACTGCGGCAATTGCCTAGAGATCCTTCTAAACACGTGGTAATACAAGTCCCACGCCTGATTCAGGTCCCGCAAGTTGCTAGATATTTTATATCTCTGACACCATTCGTGAGCGTCAGCAAGGTCCCTGCCATAAGCCTGATTGAAGCTGGTTTCTTTTAAAGTCTGCGGCCCTCTCTGCATCATCGCGTGCAAGGGTTCCAGGATGCGGAACATACCTTCCACGTTCCTTTCGCCGAAGAATAACCTAAAAGTACCACAACGGACATCTAAACGAGACATTTTTTATGGCGTGTTATAATACCTAGAGGCTTCCTCAAGCCCCTCGTGCCAAATTTCGTGCCACAAAATGGCCACCCTAATAAGTTCCTCCGAAGCCATAAGCGCTTGCTTAACGAGCGACGGTGAATGCTCGTTCATACTTTTAAGAATTTTATTGGCGGCACTGCGCCTTATAGGCGAATTGCTTTTACTAGCCACAGTCAACGGATATACCAATGCCTAAAAGTAATTCATATGTAACGATTCGGCTCAAGATAGAAATTACCTGAGGATGAGTTTTTCCTATGTCGACGAGCAAACAATGAATCAGCTTCGAAACTAGCAATCTGTTGGTATCTATTCGGGCGATTAATTGTGGTATCACTTGTAACCAGGTGTTTTTTTCCACAAGTCGTATGCCGTCCGCTATGGCTTCAGAAACTTGAGTAGACTGGCCATAATCGAACCACAAAGTTAAAAGGCGGAGAGTATCTTGCAAAGAACTACCCTTTGATAGATAAATTGACCTAGAAATGATTCAAATTATCATTATTGTCTAATTTTTCAATTGATTCAAATGACAATCAGGAATGAGGGATCCTAGCCATAGATCAAGGAACACTTCTACACACGGCTACAATTCGTCCATTATATTGGGTTGTTCGGAAAGTCATTTCGTTTTTTTTGGGGACCATGAAAGACAGTTTTCGTATAATGAATAAATATTTTATTAAATTATATATTGGCCATTCTGGTCCAACACCTTTTGCCATCTTTCTGGCAGTAACATAATTCCCCTCTCATAAAAGTTTTGATCCTTGCTGGCAAAAAACTGGTTCAGGTGGTTTTTGACATCTTCATTTGAGGTAAAGGTTTTGCCATCCAAAAAATTTTGCAGGGACCGGAACAAATAGTAGTCGGAAGGCGCCAGATCTGGAGAATATGGTGGATGTTGCAGTACGTCCCATTCAAGCTGTAAAAGTTTTTGGCGAGTGACCAAACTTGTGTGAGGTCTCGCATTATCCTGGTGGAACACTACACCCTTCCTGTTGATTAATTCGGGCCTCTTCTCTTTAAGTGAATCATTCAATTTGTCCAGTTGATGACAATAGACTTCTGAATTAATCGTTGTATTGTCCGGCAAAAGCTCAAAAAAAACGATTCCTTTGACATCCCACCAAACGGAGAGCATCACCTTTTTTTGGTGAATGTTGGCTTTTGACACGCTTTGAGCCGGTTCATCTTTTCTGCTCCATGACCTCTTGCGTTTAACATTAATAATAATCCGCTTCAAAAATGGATCATTTTCTTGACGTTTGAGGAGCGAATCACACACGTCAACGCGACGACACAAATTTCGCTCCGTAAGGACATGGGGCACCCACACATCGAGCTTCGAGGTTAAGCCCATGCCTTTCAAATGGCCATAAACAGTCGAATTCGACAAATTTAATCTTTCACCGATCTCTCGTGTGGTTATTCGCCGATTTGCAGCAACTAATGTCTTTATCGCATCTTTGTCAGCTTCGACCGGCCTTCCAGACCGTGGTGCATCTTCGACATCAAAATTGCCGGATCGAAATTTTGCAAACCAGTTCTGGCGCTGACGTACTGTTAACACGCCTTCTCCATACACATCCGTCAATTTTTTTCTCGCTTGGACAGCATTTTTACCTTTTCTGAAGTAAAAAAGTAAAATATGACGAAAATGCTGCTTATTGCTCTCCATATTTAAAAGGGCACCAACCAAAAACTACTGCGTAGAATTAATAGAACTTTTTCACACGCAAGTCTTGCAATATCAGCTCTCAAGACATATAATGATTATGCGGCTTAAGTGTGAAGTTGGTTTCGAAAAAACGTAAGTCCTCTCACGGGAAAAAACGAAATGACTTTCCGAACAACCTTATAGATAAAAGTATGAATAAAAAACAAATACAGACAAGATTAAACTCTCTTTATCCGAAACCAAATACAGAACACGAACAATTTAAAACAATTACATACTTAGGAGAACCTAGCGAAAAAGTTTCAAAACATTTGTCAAAATGTGGTTTAAAAATAGCTTTCAGAACTAACAACACTATAGGAAAATATTTAAAAAACAATAAATCGAAATGTTCAAAATCCCAAAAATCAGGTGTCTACAGGTTAAAATGTGGATCTGGTCCTAAAATTTATATTGGACAAACAGGTAGATCCTTCAAGAAACGCATTAACGAACATATAAGAGCGTTTAAAAATAATAGTCTAGATTCTAATTATGCTACACACTTAAACACAGAAAAACACATTTTTGACGACAATTTTGATATATTACACACAGCCACAAAAAAGTAGAAAATTAAATTTATTGGACGCCAACAACATTAATTAAGGTTTTATGGTCATTTTTCGGTATATATAGTAGCAGGTAGTTTGTAGATATTACATTTGATAAAGACACGGTGTTGTCGAAACAATTGTCATGTCATAATATATAATTTCGTGAAAATCTGAACTTTTAGTTCTTTGTTAGTTTGAGGAACACTTCTCATTTTCAAACCATTTTAGTCCTTAAAACGATTGCGCACTCAACATCCACACGAGGAAATAACCAAAACTTTATTGTTACTGTAACTGTAATATTTGAAACAATCGATTTATTCAAAAAAACGACACTATCCCATATACTAAATAAAGATGGAATTTTCAACAGAAATACACAAAAATGTGCCGGCTCAAACTGACTAAACTGGAAGCATTAAAACACAATCGAGTTTCAATACATTAGTTTCGACCTGCATGGCATATAACATAATAAAAAATCGACTTTATTCATAAAAAACAAAATATACATGTACAAGGAGATATTTATATAGGACAGAATTTTAAAAATAAATTCATGTACCTACTTGTAAAACAGAGAATTAAAAAATTTGAATGCTGTTATAAATAAAACTTCTTTAATACGTAGCTGTTCTTTGCTTGCGTATTAAAAATGATCCTGCAATAACCGGCAGGGAAAAAACATCCAACACTCGGTATTGTGGAAACAAAAATATAAAGATTTAATAAATATTATGTTTATTTAGATATAATAAAACTACATTAGTACTAATAGAAAATTCCTAAATAAGTTTTAATTCAAAATTTATTTGTTTCCCTTTCACAGTTTTTAACACCTGTATTATTCAGTATAAACCATCACTTGGACAAGTTGCCATTTCTCGTAACTGGATTCATTTTGTAACAAATATTCTTAAATTTAAGTAATATAATAATAAAGATATTTTGAAATCAGTTTTCAAAAATTCTTGTACTAAGCGAGAGTTCCTCATCTTCTTCACAGCCAGCAGTTTAGAATAAAGCCCTTTTCTGGTCCAGTGTGAATTAAGGCGATGCGTTTTCCTTTATTTGAAGATGCGTTTGTCTCACACTTTTGAATCAAATTTCATCTATACCTATTTTTCTCAATTAAATCCACCACTTGTTTTTTACCCATTTTGCGATATTTAATTCCCATTTTACAAATAACTCTATGGACGGTACCACGGCTAATATTTGTATTGGTTTCATCGGTTTTATCTGCTTCTAGCTTCCTTTTCAGTTTATCCAAGGTAAGAACAATCTGGTTCTTATCATCTTATCATATCTTGTCCATATGGCCAGATTGAAAATCGCTACATTTTTTTCTTTCCTTCAATAGTTCAATGTTATAAAAGTCTTGTTTGATGACTCCCCTACTTAGTAAACACTCATACACATTTTGTACAATTTGTTTTGCATCTAATGACAAATGATTTCGGCGCGACATAATGGAAAAATCCGTGAAAAAGCTTTTTCCAAACGCACGGTAAAACGATTTATTCAACAGTACCAGTAATATCAGCCGACACATGGTCGGTATATACCTGACTGGCCCCTATCTGGTTCATTACCAACGAATTAATTTGTGATTTTTGGCTTTACCACGTAACAATAGGTATGAAGGGCGTAATTACTTCTGGGGGAGGGTCCGTCAAAGGTCAAGACAATATACAAGACACACTGTACCAAAGTACCTAAACCTGTACTATTTACAAAACAATATGCAAAAAGGCACAGAGTAAAATATGAGCCAGGTTCAGTTAAGCTCTGAAGAAACCAACAGCATGATTGGCGAAACGTTTGAAACTTCGATTCAACAACAGTCGACGCAGGAAGAAGCCAGAAATTTTGTAAATAGTATTACAGTTTCCTGTGGAAGTTTCTTTGAAAAAAATGACCTAAACTTGTATTCGCGATTTTTACATTTATTTATATAATAAACACAGTGTGTGCTGGTTGTTCCTATGTGGGGTGAAACTAAGCAAAAACAGTCATATACAAAAATGTAAATAATCGTAAGTTACGGCAAATTAGTACACATCACCAAACATTTAACCCTCCACTAACCTGAAAAACCCTTGAACCGCCACCACGGTATGCTTGTTGATGTCGATGGCCCGTTCGATTTCTTGATTGATCCTCTCGGCCTTCGACGCCTGCGACCTCGACTCCATTTCCTCTTTATTTTTATAGAACAACACAGTTTCAAAGTTAATGTAGGCCCACGCGTGCCAAGCTTTATACCAGTTCTGGTCGAACTTGGTTGCCTTCTCGTAACAATTCAATACGGAAGGTATCGACGACATGGTCACGCCCTCGAGGTTCTCCTTCCAATGGCCGAGCTTCAAATAACACCTGCAACGAACATTCGACTGATCTGGAACACGGAACGCGGACGTTTTTACCTCGCCAGGAGCCTGTTTTGCTCTTTGGTCACGCTCTCGTTTGCCGCGTGTTGCGAATATTCCGCCAGAAAGCGCTGCAGGTGTTCGTACGCCCTCTGTTTCTCGTCAATCTGCCACAAGTGTTTGCAGTACGCGAAGGTGACGTGCGGCTGCGATGCCGGTAGCGGCTTCTGGAGATTCTCTTCCGGATTGAAGCCCAGCAACATCACCAACGTCTTGTGGGACAATTTCTGAAATCAAAATGAAACGGATTGTTTGCGAATGAATTTCGGATTAGTCAATATTGCTTTTGGGGCCGAATAAACGGTTTGAAAAAGGTGACAAACAATGACGTCATGAGGTATTTATGCACCAGCGACACTAAATACGTCAGTTAAATAACAACTTATGAAAATACTAAGTTTGTGGAAACGCATTTTATTTTAAAATAAATTGTACGGTGTTTATGGAATGATACCTTATCTCAGAATCTGTACAAAATTTTCAAAAGATGTTAAGACGAAAGTGGTTTAAATTTACTTATGCTTTTAAATTTTTTATTGCTATATACAGGGTGTTTTCTAATTCAATGTCAATAATTAAGGGGCGATTTTTGGGTTCATTTTAAAAAGAAAACTTCATATGAACATATCTCCTAAACGTCTTAACTTTGAAATAGAGAGAGAGAAAATAAAATATATTGTTTTAATATCTGTAATTGCATTTTAGATATTTTCATTATTTGTTCAATATTTGGCACACATGTACTATGCATCAAGAGGCATTATTTAGTGTAAAACAATTTTTTTTAAAATGCACCAGTGGCGGGCGTAAGGAAAATTATCCTTACAATCCCCAATTATTTCTAAAGAAATTTAATTTTTTTCAATCCGATATACGGTTTTCGCTTAATAAAACCTCTTCTGTGCATGATCATAACAATATCGCTAATATGACAGCACGCACACAAATTGGTTTTCATTTTTAAGTGATAACCGTGCGACGGACTAAAAAAAATTAAGAGATCAAATCTGCTCATAAATGAATGCAAACGTCATTTTTTTTAAGGAAATAAGTGGCATATCTATAAATAAAAAATTTTTGACAAAGAAACTTCTTCTTCTGGATTCCTCCTGCGTCGGTTTTTGTTAACTCGAACTTGCTAACGTTTCGCCAATCATCCTGTTGGCTTCTTCAGAGCTTGACTGAAACTGTCAAGTCCAGAAGTTTTATAAAAAGTAAATAAGATTTTGGTTAATTAGGTCGCCACTGCACTGGTTAAATCGAGAACTTTTTCTGCGAAAAATACAATATCTATCTAAAACAAAATATCTAGTTTTTAGTTAACAACTAGTGTCCTTCAGAAAAAAAAATATTAGAGGACTGTTCCTTTTACCTTTACAGTTAAGATAACATCCTAACAATATAAATAATAAACGACTTTTCTTTAAAAAAAAACAAAAACAATACCTACTATTAATAATTTTTAACAAAATTGTCTGTTAATATATAGACATAGAATATAGAAACTAGATAAGTTGTTGAAAGTGTCCTCCACTTTGAAGGATACCTGCTCCAACTCTTTTCCTCTTATTGCCAAGCACTCTTTGACCAATGTTTCTTATTAAATCACATGAGGCCAGCCAACTGACTGAAATAATTTTAAAAATGAAATTTATATTTAATTTATATTGTGCGTTACATCACGATAGCGTCGTTCTGAGAACTAAATGGAGTGGATAATTTATTGGGATTCCCCGAATGACTATTCGGGTATTCTTTGAAGAGGTAAATTGCACATCACAAACGCATAATAATTTATTATAAAACACATATTATTATTAAATAATGGTAAATAACGCTCTAGAATTTTTATTTAAAATATTTTGATAATATTTGACTAGTCAATTGGTCAATTGACAACTTCTTAATTGATTAATCAAATTAAAACAAAATATAATAATAATAAATAATAATAATTGTAGAGTGTTATCTATCATTAATAAATAATAATATTTATTTTATAATACATTATTATGCGTTTTGGTGACTTTCTATGAGGTTTAATATTGCAAAAAGTTATTCGACGTTCATTTTAAAAATGTTAAAAGGCTCAATTGTTCAGAAAGAAACGGCACGAAAAGGCACTACAGAAATGCCACCTACTATTTACTTAATTATTAATTATCTTTTGACAATTATTCATATATTACATAAATCATGACTGGTATGATTCATATAAGTTATTAAAACAAAAGTTTTTTTAATTTGTTTACTGTCTCAAAAAGAAACAAATTTTCTCAAAAACGTTGATTCATTTTTCACTCAAGATGCACAAAACATACAAGAAACACTGTTTTAAGCAATTAATAGAAAAATGTACAGATTTTATATTCAATTATTATACTATAAAAGACATATGATATAGAAAATTTCATTTATAGTTATTTTCTTTCCGAATGTGGCAAATAATAAACTGCTTCTTGTAATCTGCTTTAACTATTAGTATTATTCCAATTATTTAGTTTTGATTAGGTGCCATAAACTTTTTTTCTTTCCTTTGCCATGTTTGGTCGTCACAGCATTTTTGCAATGGAAAAAATTTTTAATGCTAATATTTCGAAATCTTAAATGTTTTCAAATAAGCAACAGTATAAAAACCAACGCTCTTTTTAAATGCGAATTTCCATTTCAAAAAAATATTTTTTACGATTTTTGACTTAAAGATTTGTTGTTTTTATTGATTACCCTGTATTTATTTTTTTAGAAATCAGTGTTTAGACTTGCAACCTTCACTTTTGATATAAAATTCGAAATATGACTCATCAGAGTTCAAGAGAGTTTAAGCTTTGATAGCTTTATAGTTAAAGCAGAGTTTAAATTAAACTGAATTATGCTTGGGAATGGCAAACAGTTTCTTATTTTGAGTGATAACTGAATGAATATCTAAGCAACAAGTAAGTTCAATTAATCATATTGGTCTTTGAAGAGTAATTATTTTTTTACTTTAAATACAACCCTTAGGTTGTGCTTAAAACCGTTCTTCTAAAGTCAGTCAGTGATGGCTCTTGTAAGAGCCGATTCTGACAGAAATTTTGGATAGTATTAACAGATCAGGCAGTTGCCAACAAAATATAATTTTCTGATTGTTCGTTTCCACTGAAACAAAATAGAGTAGAATGTAAAAAACTAAGAAACAAATTTAAAAAATATCTAAAATCATTGGCAGTTATATTAAAAACATCAGCAACTTATTAAAATTAATGTTAAAGTTTTAGGTTTTCGCAAAATGCAAATATTTTTTTCCCGGATTTCCCACATAAAAAACGTCTGTGCTAAAAACGATTTTGACCCTTATTTTTAAAAATGAGGGCTGCGTGTTTTTTTTGTGGTTTTGAATAAGGTCTGCCTGTAGTACATATTTTTTCCAAATTACTGATCTCTATGACAGATGGAAATTTTGTAAAAGACATTATTTGATCCATTTACCCAACCAGAAGTGATGACATGATTGCTGCTAATGAAAATAAAATAATAAGTAATTCATTTTTTTGAAGTCAGATTATTAAAAATCTTTTCTAATTCTATACAATTTACCAATGAACCGCTTTTCCTACACAAAGCGGCATACTTCAGCCAAGTCTGCACGTCCTCATGAGGTTGGAGTACTAACGAATGCACCTGAATAATCCTCTGCCAATCCTCGACAAGCCTTTGGCCAGACTGGAGCCTTTCCCACCACATCTGTTTCAAGGTTTCGCGCCTTTCGGGTACCAGCTTGTATTGCATTACCTAAAAGGTAAAAAAATACATAACTTGGTCGTGTGAACTGGTACCAGTCGTACTTCTTCGAGTTCGCTTAACATTTGTACTTGGACCATCGCTCCGTAAGCGCGTTGGTAACTTTCACCGGCCATGGCCGTCAGCTCTGTGTCGATCATGTCTCGCGTGAGGTCTATAAAATCTTGCGCCACCCTATACTGCTCTTTGTGTATAGCTAAGATGGCGCGGTAAAAAGCGCCGTCCTGACAATCTTGCGGAATTATATTTACATACCTACAAAACGGATATTTTTGCAGAAGCACCGCAGATGAATTTTACACAATACTGACCTTTCCATCGATTCATAATTATGCAGCCCGAACGCGGATGCGGCTGCCAAATGGCACGCCTTCTGCTTATGATCTTCTGTCAATAAATCGAATTTATGTTCCACGACATTATGAAGATTCGCCCATTCCCCTAAAGCTTCCAAACACCTGGATAATAATTAGCAATGAATCTAGGATTGACTTCGGAGGAGAAAAATACCTCATTTGCCCTAAACACGCCTCTTGATTGTTCGGATCACTTTCAAGCTCCTCGGTGTATAATCCCATCGCCTTATCCCAATTATGCAATTTTTCGTACCATCGCACCTAGAATGTATATATTAGAACTGAGTATCTGTATAAAATATAGACTATCAATTTGTAAATTAATTCAAAGGGCACTAGAATTAAGAATTATAGAAATTTTTGAACCATCTCAACCATTTTGCGTGTAATATATTACCAAGGCTATTTTTTATTTATAAGATTGGTTTTCATATTAAGCAGTTTTGATATCTACAAAACTTACATCTAATTTCAATGAACTTTTAATAAGCTTAAATATGAAAAAATCTGATATTATTATTATTATGACTATTACCAATACAGATTTTTGTTTTTGACTAATTCTTAGCAAGCACAGTGCTAAACACATAAACATTATACACCGGCTACAAAAACGTCCAATTCATTCTAGATTGGACTCCATTTTCTCCATTGTATATTTTTAAATACTTATGATCGTTCAATTCTAGTCGTTAGATTTATACTAACCAAAAATAACTTTGCCAAGAGTTGTGTAATAAGTTCATCCTATCAGATTCCTAGAAACTTTTTGTACTTCATATTTTCGTGTTGTTTTACTTTATCCCTTATTAAATACGGTTTTCCTTGTTAACCGATAAAGTTCAATGCTGCGCAACAATAAAGCTCCCGTTACTAAAGTTTAAAGTGCAAGCGGTGTTGTAAGTAATAATAAGATAAGGGAAAATAGCTAATATGATGGGTTGTGAATTTAAAAAACAAAAGTTTGCTTTTATTTAATTTTTGATTTGATTAATTTCTTTGTTTATTTTTAATAAAAACGTATAAACAATATCTAATTTCGTTACATATTTGAGTCAGTGGTTTGAAGATAAATTTTCATGGCACATAAATTTAAAGTGAATGCGGTTTGGCGATAATGATGACTTAGTGCTGCTACGGGAGGTCTAACTCCTTTTTAAATCCTAATATTCTATGTCTCTTATAAAGTTTGATCATAGCAAAATAACAATACCGCTAGGCTGTACTGTTAGTTAGTTTTATACCATAAACATGTTACTGTGTATCAGATAAAAAGCTAAATAATTTTTGTAACATGGGAATATATACCATCTTGAGCATGCTTATTGATGTTCAGTGGTGTTCCAAGTTCAAGTCCTATTGCAAAAATTTTATTAGGACGAGTTTGCCAGATCTATAATTATTAGTTCCATTTCCAGAAAAATGCAACTCCTTTGAATTTTGTTTACTTTTAAGATTTGAAGGTAACTTTCATGTGTGTTTTCGACATTTCTTATAAAAAAATAATTGTGGAGCTCATGAGTCAGGTATGCAAAAAACTGAGTTTTAATTTTCACAACCTTGGTTTTGCTGTGTTATATTGGACAATTAACAATGCTCCAATAAGTTCTCCCTGCTCTAGTTATTTCGATTCGCCACTTAGAATTGTTGGAACAAATGTTGACGGATTTTAGTCTGAGGGTTTGCAGCGTATTTATCGAAATTAACAATAAATACTTTCACTAATTAGATTATATGATGTGACTTCAATAGCACCCCGTATATTAAGTCTCTAGAACAGGAATATGGAACAGGAATCAGGTATTGGATTCAAGAAAAATGTTCTCACAGATTCATAATATTTTTTCCAGTATAAAGAAAATATATAAGGTGGGTAAAAGAATAGAGTGCAATACCAAATGGAACACTACTTCTTTAAATCAATTTTCGAATTCTGAATCCAATTTCACACATAATTCATGTAGCATACCCTATGAGTAAAGTAAGTAAGTACGAGTACTTTTCCTAAGCAAAAGAATAAATAAAAATGTAGTTTTCAAATGAACAGGTAATTAATACCAGTAAAGTTCTTAAATTGTTGCAATTACATTTCTGCCAGAAATTTTACTTTTTATTCAATATGGTGACAAAACTAACCAAAACTTAAGATGTTTGTAATTTGTTTAACAGAAAAACGGAAAATATCTAGCAAGACCCATTACAAGTTCCACAGTGAGTTAAATTTATAGAAACCATAGGGTTGTTTCCAAAAATTTAAAAAAAAAATGTATTTTTGAGCTTCTAAAATTCTTCTGAATTTGAAAACTCGTTTTCCGCACAATTTCCTTATAATAATGATCCTTACAGTGACTGTTTCAAAGCTGAGACAAATTCAAATCTCTGCTGACAGATGCTTTTTAATCTATCTCTAAGAAAAAACTGGTGGGGGTGATCCAACATTTCCAGAAATAAATGTTGATAACTCCTGGAATAGATTTTAATAAACTTAGAGTCATTAAAAAGGGCTTTTCCAGGCTATCAAACGTGCTATGAGTGAAAAGATTGCGCAAAAAAATAATTTTCTGAAAAAAAAATTAAATGGAAGGGTGAAACAACAACCCAGTGAAAATCCCATCTTAATATATTTATCTTAAATTAACATAACACTTATAAATTAATAACTCTATCTAAATATTGATAACGATAAAAAACAACAAAATTGATTGAAAGGAGACTCAAAGGTCTCGTTGAAACACCCGGTATATATTAAGCCGGGCGACATAATATGCAGTCGAATTTTTGGCCCTGCATAAGAGGCGTCACAATGTACGTCTTGTTTAACTCCATGTTGGATTTGTTTTAGGCATTAAACACATTTTCTATGATGCATTACAAAATTTTTGGCGCTTTCTGCTTAAATCATCATTTAACAGAATCAATTTGCTATACTTTAAACTTTACTAGAACTTCAAGACCTCCAAGAAAATGAGGAGTTAGTGAATTTACCTGAAACTGCACATCTTGTTGCCTCATAACATACTGCAACAGTCCTTCGGCCGCTTCCTTCTGTTGAAGTTTATTGTTAATGGAAATCAAAGCCTCTATGACTTGACTATTCTTATTTCCGCCTTTTAGAAACTCCTCCTCTTTATAATGCAAAGCTTTAGCATAAGCCCTAAAACAAAGGCGAGGATTTGCCCTACTAGAACCATTGGTTTGATGGAGGCTGGTACCTGCAGTGCATGGCGTGTTCGCCTAGCAAATGACCGTCCAGTGGTAGCGGACCTTTGTCGCAATGTTCCATAAATTCGGCCAAATTCAATATGGTCTGCGTAATTTCTGGCACGTCTGGAACGGTCAATGCTTGTTCCAAACACCCGATCAAATCTTTTTGCATCGGTTCACTGAGCTCGGTCCAACAACTGACGAACGCGGCATTGAAAAGATCTTTGGGCAACTGGGAATAAGTCTGTGCCAGAGGGAGGCAGGATCTCAAAGCGGGTATAGGTGACTGCTTCAACAGTTCCAGACTGAGATGCCTCAGCCATTCCAGCCAATCGTCCTAAGATTGATTTCGATTTATTCATACAATCTCAATCTCAAAAAATTATTAACACTAACAAAACTAAAATCAGAGAAAAAGAAGGCGAAACATTCATAAATAATTTTAAACGGTTTTTGGGTGAATAAGGAGTATTACGGTTAGAGGAAACTAATAAAATTCTGTCCATCTATTTTTGCTGAATCTTTAAAATTTTCATATGCTTGTTTAAAAGAAAAGAAAATTCAAACATTTTTTTTTGTTCAAAGCACAATAAATAAATACCAAAAGTAACTAAAAAAATTAATTATGCAGGTAATTGCAGTTTGCTTACTTGTTCCAGTTTAAATTCTACATTAATTTTAAAATATCTGTAACACTCAATACAGGTTGTCCCAAAAGTGTTAGACTTATCAAAGTTGTATTTTTTTTAATGGAACCCCATTTATATTAATAAATTATATTAATATGTTTTTTAAATAATTTATTTGTCATTATGTAATCTAACTTTAATTTCTCAAATTCATATAAATAAAAAAAAATTATAAAAGATGATCCACAATATGCTACCGAAGTATATGTTAGATAAAATTTACTTCTGTAAATTAAATTTACAACAAGTAAGAATATATACACATTTCACAAGTGAAGAAGACAAACTCAAAAAGCATTATTATCGAAGTGCGGCATTTCTAAGTACCCATTTTGAAAACAGGTACATTGGAAAATATGGGTTTCAAAATTGACACCTTAGATCCCCAGACTTTTTATGGGAAATGAGAAAATACGTAAGATTAGAGACGCAATGAACACTGTAACCCCGCAGATGTTGCCGAGAATTAACAATAGTTTCAAGAAAAGAATTTGTAAATGTCTGCAAATGGACGGATGACATTTCCAAAATGTATTGTAAAAACATGTTTTCTTCGATTTTATATTACCTTTAGTTGTTTGTTGATATAACCTGGATAATAAATTACTTTTTAAGTTTCATAACATTTTTGAAAATCTTATATATTATAATTGCTTTTATCTTACCGGCGTGAAGTTATTATAAAGTGTCAAAGTAAGAAATCAATGCAGTCATAAAATATCTGAATTTACAGACCGACAGACTTTACAGCTAAACCTGACCAATGCAGTAAAACATTTAAAAATACCAACACCATTTTATAGTTAATTGACAAGTACATTCCTTGGTGAGTTAAAAGAAATATTAATTAAATTTAAAACAATCAATTTGTAGCCACTTGAAACTGTTATTCGAATAGAATAACTTTTCGGCCAGCCTGTATAAATTGGGAAACCTTTTATCATTTAAGCAGAAAATATCGTCTATACTTCTAATGTATTTATTTGAGTAAGTCAAATTGTTTAAAAAATCCTAAGGTATCATAAACTATATCGCAACATCCTTATTCTGACCGTAGAATCCAAAAATGGTATACTATACAAGGGGTTTAATTTAAAAAATACATCTTTGAACACTTTTAAGAACACCGGTAAGTATGAAAGCTATTTTAAAGTTAACATATTAAATTATCACCTAGTATATATATACATTTTTTTTTGCAACAAAATAATGTTAATAAAATAGTTTATCTTACCTTTGATACTCTTCTTGTAGGTATCCAAGCTTGCCTCAGATTTTTCTCGCCGGTTTTCAATCTTTGCAACATGGTGGAGGAGTCGCTAGACATTCCAACCTCGCCCCTGTTCTGCTTATTTCTACCCCTCGGCATGGGTAGGTCATGTTCGTCGGCCATGGTGGTTTCGGTCTCTATTGAAGACACCAAATGCTCCCACCTCTTATTTTGTATTTTGTGCTTCTGAACCACCTTTTGTACCATGGGAACGAACAAGCAAAACTTTCTACCAAGCTGGGAGACCAGAGAACACAGAGTGTCCATCGCTTTCTCTCTTAGTTCTGCATTTTTATCCATGGTACGAACTAGGGGATGAATTATGCGAGAAACGTAATCGGAAAGGTCGATAATATAGGCTAATTGATCGATAGTTTCGAGGGCTTGTTTCGATACAGCTAGGGGGCAATCGGACGCATCAAACAACCTATAAAAGTAACGTTACAGTAAAATTCAAAATTTTTAAAGGGGGGGGGGGTCTCTTACTTAACTATAGGAGGCAAAATCAAATGCATATAGTCATCCAAATTGTTGCCAAACTCCTGAATGGCCTGGAGCAATTTGATGGTGTGCTGCTTGTCTTTGGACGTGTCATGATTTAGCACCCGCAAAATTTGAGGTATAATTCTCGGAAAATACAACTTGAATTCCGCCCCCAACGCGACGGCGATGTGTTCCAGCAGCAATATGATCGTCCCTAAATTAAAAATTGCGAGGCATCGAACAACAGAAGCTGTGCGGTAATACCTTGAATCGCGCTATTCGGAGTCCAAAACTCTTTAATAAGATCGCAAATATCGTCTAAATAATTGCGAACGTGTTGCTTGACGATGCTGATCAATTGCGCCAATTGTTGGAAGAGAAACTCTCTGAAATTGTTTTCGGTCATACGAACTACGATCAACAAATTCGGGAACACCTACAAAAGGACCGATTACGTATATCACAGATATACATTCTGAGGTATTTGGAGACTTTCTTATCTTTTTGCAACAAAGTAGGATCAAAAACTGTCACAGTAAGCAACGTGAGATAAAACGAAAGAATCGTAGTTTGGAACCAGGTCCAATTGAAGAAATGTGCGTTGAAAATCTTATGTACGAATCAGTCATCTTTAATGCAGCATCATTCAAAAGTATAGTAAGACCCTGCTTAACAAGGAGTATATGAGTATATCAGTATAAGAGCGAAATATAATAATAGCAAATTTTACCATTAAATTTATTAATTATATTTTTAATAACAATAAAGTAAAAATGTATTTCTTACAAATACAGAAATATAATAAACGAATATAAATATAAAAATTAATAACATTCTTCCTCTGTATTTCCAATTTTCTGCCCTTTTATCAAGAAGAGCGTTTCCATTTCGCGTTTCGCGATTTGTAAGAAGTTGTTGGTAGGCAGATAACCACGTCTTGCCTTTGAATTGTCAAAATGTAGGTCATTTTCAATAAATTGATTTATAATTTCAGTCAAATTGGCTATTCGAAAAGCTGTTGATTATTTGGGTCATTCTCAATAAATTGGTCCATAATTTCTGTTATATTGATCAAACTAGTTTTAAGAAACGCTGAGTTCATCATTTTTCTACAGCATGATATTGTAGTACTTCCCAAGCTCTCTCTTCTGCGTCTGTCTAAATATTGGCCGACTGTAATAAGCCTTAAAATTTGATCCATTCATTGGATTAGTCACTTGTGTTAAGCGACAAGAAAACCACTTTGACAGGAATGCATATCAATAAGTAGGATAAATTCATTTGGTAGTTTGAAGAATTATCAATTTAAAGCACTTCTGTTGATTCAAGTTTACAAATTCGTAATAGCGTTTAACAGAAAACATTTAATGAACCAACTCTGGAAAATTTTCAGTTAGCCTTGATTTTTCCTTCATCGCTCATGAGTTTGGAATGGTAAAGAAGTAGTAGTTTAAATTTAAAAACTCCGCTTGCATTACCACCCGGTGTGTTAAGGGGTCTTTTGCAACTTTAAATACTAATACACATTTTTCTTCACGTGATAGAAAGGTTCGTTTTGGCTTTTTTTTTAATGTTAATGTTACACAACATCACATATTTGAAATATTTGACTTTATCATCTAAATTATTTTGTACGGTCAAGAAAAACAAACAAAAACAGGCTACAGCGCAGCGAAGCAAAGACTTACGAGATGTGACAACTTTATATATCATTTTGTAAACTCTGGTAAAAGTAGAAATAAACAACCAGCAATATGAAAACCGCATCCCTCTAACATTGTTTATTTACATTAATAATTCAATAAAATAAAATCAACGTTGGCAAATAAATGAAAAATCCGCTGACGCTGGTATAGAATAACTAACAAGTAGGTATAAGTTGTCAAAGAGTTGAAAGAAACACGTAATATCCTGATTTCATCTCTCCACGATGTTCGTAAAGAAAACTCAGTACAGTACATTTTGTCACTGTTTACTTCCATCTTCTTGTACTTGTACCTTATACTGAGCTTATAACCTTTTGCTGTTTTTTTATGTCTAATTTTCCGTTGGTGTTGCTTTATTTCGCGTAATGTTATTCTTCCTTTCTTAATATACCCAAACACAGAAATGGAAACATTCATTTGTAACTCCTATTTTCAAAAAGGGTAATAACTCTAACCTGGCCAACTGCAGTATACAGTCAGCGATACGCAAGGTTTTGGAGAAGATGTTTTTGCCAATTCTGAAGGCAGTTCAACTAAGAATGGCAGAGACTATGTTAAACATCGATCTTTATACTTTTAACATATGCTGGGACTGGTACTCAGAATATCTGTTATTATCAGGTTGCACAGGTAATATGTGGAAACCATATGGCAATATGGGTCAACAATGCAATTTCCTCCTCCTCTGTTTCCTTCAACGGTTATAAAACTAGGTTAGACATATTTTGTTAAATAATTTATAGTTGTATTGTGCTCAGATTTGTTTCCTTGCGTAAAATGCCATAACCATTGAAATAAATAAATACATAGTATTGAAAACAATATTTTAAAAAATTTACTCTAATTTATCTGTCTGTAAACACTATTATTTAGATTATTTAAAGCAATTGTTCTAAAACTAAGACTAACCTGTGCGATATAAGGAACACACTTTATACCCAAACTTTTAAACGTAAAAGTGACTGCCTGAAACACCATGGTGTGATATTGGGACAAAGTGGGATCCTTGACTATTTTCAGAAGAGTTGCAATGGCGATGGCCAGATAGTACTCCTCCAGCGTGCTGGACGAACTCATATTAACCAACATTTCGCTCGAAGTCAAATCCCCCTCTTCCACGGCGTTTTTGTCAGGCATCGGTATCAACACAGGTGCCTCCGGTTGATAATCGATTTCTCCGCGATGCATTTTATGTTTATACGGGTCCAGTGCACCTTCAAAATGATATTGTAAAGCAAGGAGGTTCGAAATTTTAATTCTCAATTTACCTAATAAACCGAGAGCTCTTATAGTCTCGCGCCTAATATAAGGATGTTGCTCAGTCTTTAAAAAGTTCATCAAGATGTCTAGAAGTATTGGATACTGATTATAGGGCCTCACGATATGACCGGTAGCGCCCACTAGCTGTCCTAGAGTTACCAAAGCTGCACATCTTTTTTCAGGTGCCGAAGCGTCACTAAGAATTTCCAATAATATTTCCTAAAATCAAAGTTAGAATATTCTGGGTGTTGTATGTGGCCAATCTTGATTCTCGGACGATGATATTTCGTTTTCCACCTTTTTTTATCTATGAATATTTCTGACAACAAAGATTCATTTTGTGTTGATTGTTCTTTTCGTATCTAGGAAAACATAATAAAAACTTTACAATAATAAAATAAATAAGTATACTCATCACTTACTCCGCTCTGAATCTTAATATTTGATCCAGTTGCAAATGTAATGTAAAAAATAATAATTTAATGAACCATGTTTTGATATTTACGAAACTCTCATATTGCCAATAAGAGACTTTAGAAAAATATAACGCATTAAAACGCTCCTTTGGTATTTACGAAACTTTCATTTTGCCAATAAGAGATTTTAGAAAAATATAACGCATTAAAATGCCCCATACCATTAACTCCTGCATCCAGTCTTGAAGCTCTGAATCGCCACCAGTCACTTCTGCGAGATCGCCGATAGTATAAAGAACAGAGAGCAAGACACCTGGGTTTGGTTCCGCCTCTTTTAACTTCGGCACTAAAACCTAATAAAAAACAAAAACACAACTTGAATTATAACGAATTTATTGTTTTGATATTCAATATGTCTTTAAAGCTTTAAACGGGTAAAAACAAATTTCAACAAAAACTCAAACGCTATGACGTGTGCTCCTGTAATACCTGTAACATTGGTTCCATGTAAGGTCGTATTAAACGAGGGGCTCTAACGACCAGATGATCCATCAGCAGGGCGCTCTGTTCCTTATTGCGACCTATGCCGGAATGTTCTAGCTCGGTAAGGAGTTGAATTAAGACTTTCCTTAGACTTGGCATTATGTAAGCTGGATTCATGGAACTTAATCTGCCGATGGTGAACATCGAAACTTCTCGAATTTTGAACTCCTCATCTTGAAGCGCAATGAAAAGGGCTTCTATGGATTCCGGTTGAGCCAGGTATCGGTCAAATGTCGAATCGAGAGATGTTAACACTCCATAGCGCACTTGGACCTCACTATCCGTTAAACCGACACCTGCCGAGCCGAAATATTAATAATAAATATATATTCTGAAAACTATATATAATTAAAATACTTGAAAATTAAATTAGCCTTAAGAACCAAACTTAAAAGTATTTCCATTTGTGTAAGCTCTGAATGATTCAAGGGAAATATCGGACGCCGAAATTAGGTCTATTAAAGAAATATAGTATGTAGTACTTTAGCTTGATTGAGTTAGAGATAAGAACTGCCTTCAGCTAGAAACGAACGATTTGGTTGTTGAAATAGGTATACATTTATTTTTATTACTAAGAATCAAACATAAAATTGGAAAATAAAATAAATATCAAGTCACAATTCTTAAACAACAGCGTTCACTAACTATACCATACTTTAAGAAAAATATGATACTTATTGGGTTTGGCAAAGTGCAGCGTGAACACAATTTATTTTTTTTTTCAATACAGCTGGAATTTTTGGTTTTATAAAAAAAATACTCCCAAGTGCGCCTAGAATTTCCAACTCACTAGTGTAATGTGCTTTGGTATTGGAAACAGTTGCCAAAAAAGCATTTTAGAATTATTATTTTAATAAAAATTGTAAGTATTGTATGCATTTGCTATTTCCATTTACATTTTTTTTTCGTTACTTTTTTTTTATAGACTGCGATGTTGGTTCATTTTCATTTCATTAATTTTAAACCCAGGCTACTGTAATACTTTTTACAAAACTTCTGGTTTTTGTTGGGTCGAACTTGCAAACGTTTCGCCAATCATCCTGTTTGCTTCTTCAGAGCTTGACTGAAATTGGCTCGCATTTTACTCTGTACTTGCTTATATATTGTGTTCTGCGTAGCTAAATGGGGGACATAAACACCGTCTCGGATGACTAATTCCCATATTGGTGACGGGTAAAGACCTGAGTCGCCGTTAAAATTGTTACTGTCGACTTTTTCATTGGTAGAAGAATGGATTACATGCAAGAATTTTAGTTTTATCGAATAAAATTTTATGCCCGGTTTCGTGATTGTGTTCAGGAACTGCTAATGGGTTTATTCTTAGTCTTAAGCCTCTTTCACGTTCTTTGAGTCTAGTTGATAATTAAGTTGTTTAGGTAAGGTGTTGTAATTTTAGGTTCAGTGACTCCAGCAGAGATTTTCAATGGTAAAAGGTATGTTAGGGTGTATAAAGTTTAAATGTCTAAGAAAATCTAGTAGGGATTCTTGACCATAAGGTCAAATAACAAAAGTATCATCGACGTAGCATTTCCATAATTTTGGTTTTACATGGAACTTGTCGAGAGCTTTCTTCAAAAATTTGACCTTTACAAGAATAATATATTCCAGACAAGCATTTTTCAATTAAGGTGAGAAGGTTTCGTTTCAGATTCCCGGATTTTAATATATCTGAAATGATGTTGAGAGTTTCAGGAATAGAGACTTTAGTAAAGAAGGATTCCACGTCGAAACTAACCAGAATATCTTGTGAATCTAATGTAATGCTTTGTAATTGTTCAATGAAGAAAAAGGAATTAAGTACGAAACTATCAGTTTTGCCTGTAAAGGATTTTAATAAGAGAGCTAGATATTTTGCTAGAGAAAATGTTGGAGAGCCTGTAGACTGACAAACTATTTCACGGAGTCTGATAGAGAAGAAGTCTTAATAACAGATTTCATTTGTATTCATGATTAGGATTAGGATTACGATGTTGGGATTAGATTTTAGGACAATGCGTTCAGGCTTTGCAATATTAAAATTAGGTTTTGATTTTTTAAGGATTTTAGCGCTTTCAAATCGAATTTCCTTAGCTGTTTGAGATGGCAGTTTGTTTAGGATAGATTTGACATTTGAAATGATTTCCTCTTTTGGGATAATACGTGGGGCAAGGACGAAGTTGGAATCTTTTGAAAGAACTGATGTTTCCGTTTGTCAGTTGAGAAGAGTTTGATGGTTTCTCTAGTGTTTACGTTAGTTTTTCAAATTTCTGAATATGATTTTGTGTGGGAGATACACGAAGATTTAAAACTTTGTCATAAATCATGTTTTAAAGGGTATTGAACTCGGATGGGGACAAGATGAAAGCAATTTCAAGATGTAGAGACAGAAGGGTCTTATTGAGTTGGTCTTTCCTTACGGGTATGATGAATTCTTTCTCGAAGTAAAGCGAACCTAGATTTTTGAAGAATTTTATAAGTGGATGAGGTTTTGACATGATGGGATATTTTAAGAAAATTGGGGATAACATCTCTACAATAATTTTATTCGATAAAACTAAAATTCTTGCAAATAATCAATTCTTCTACTAACGAAAAATCCAAGAGTCTATAGAAATCTATAAGCAACCTAACAAACTTAACCGAGACTCGGGTCTTTACCTGCCACTAATATGGAAATCAGTCATCCGAGACTGTATTAATGCCCCTCATTTTGCTCCGCCCCCATCAAACAATATATCAGCAGGTACAGAGTAAAATGCGAGCCAATTTCAGTCAAGCGCTGAAGAAGCCAACAGGATGATTGGCGAAAGGTTAGCAAGTTCGACTTAACAAAAACCGACGCAGGAGGAACCCAGAAGTTTTAAAAAATATTTTTAGTAATAGTAATAATTGAATAACTAAAGCAAGAAATACACATAACCAAATTCAATTTTGTTGCCAACTGAAAATTTAGGTTAGTAACATTTGAACATTGAAATTAGGATCTAAAAATAAATTTTTATTATTTATATAAGGACAATGAGATTAGGTCCTTTTTCGGTTGGTGATATTTAATAACTTAGTTATTCTTTAGAGGTTAGTCACCACAACCTTGTTTTTATTTTAAAAGTTAGCAAGCTACAGCTTTCAATTTTTATAAGATTCTTTTTGTCCATAGTTTGTTATTTTCTTAATGTTATTATATTATAGTTATTAATACTTAAGATAAATATGTAAAATGATGTAACCGTTGAAGAATAAATAAAATAAAATAAAAAAATTATGTTAATGGCAGTTCATTTTGTAAGTCATAACTCCAGGGCCTCACCTAACAATGTTTGCAAAACTGAAGCAACCGTCCTTGTGACTGTTTGACTTGGATGTTTATCAGTGCTTCTAATGGCATGCCTCAACAACCTACTGGTCGTTTTAACTGCTTCCAACCTAATTTCGGTGACGTCATGCACCAAAAAATGATTCGCGCATCTCTGCACAAAGGGCAACAATCGCTGACCTTCAAAATCAAAAGTGCCTAATGTATGCAAGGCTAAAACAATCAGTTGGGTGTCAGTGGTGTCTCCAGTAAAACTGACAGGAATATTAGGCGCGAGATTGCTAGGCATTCCCGGATGTAACAGAGGTTTATTTAGCAGGATGTGCGATAACATTTTTAGCAACCCCAAACTAATTTTATCCTTGTGACTCGGTACCCGTTTGGCCAATTCTCTAAGACAAATCGTTAAAGATTGACTCAGACCGGTGGCGAGCATTTGTTCTAAAATATTTGGAACGTCCATCCTGTCGTGCTTTTTTAATGCTAACGCGAGAAAGGTCACGCATTTGTAAACTGAACTATCCACAAGTGGCCTTCGTCTACCGATGGACTCTCCTCTCGGCAGAGCAGCTCTAATCGTTTCCATAATTTTATGCACATATGGCTCAATATCTTCTTCAATGGCGAGAGCCAACAAGCCTCGAAAAACAAACAAATTGATTCTTTTTGTTATGAGAAAATACCGAAACTTACCAATTGTGATGAACGCAAGATTTTTCTCCCTTTCCCTACCTTTCAAGACGCTGAATAAATAGTTCATAGCATTTGGCAAATGATTCGTAACAAAAGGTTTCCTGTTAAATGCTGCCAATCTAGGCAAAATTGTTAGTAAAGTGTGTTGGATGTAGTTAACTTTTGAAAATCTTTGATTGAACACATCCACACAAATGTACTCATATTTTTCCGCTATAAGTTGATGACATATGAACGATTCCAGAATAACGGGCTTTTCAGGTGCAAGGGCGGACAAAATTATACTATTGGCTTTTTTTTTGGCATGAATTGGAAACAAGAAAGGGGGTCTGTTAAAACTAAAATGGTCTACGTCATCTGACGATGGAGTTCGGTCAATGCTCTCTTGTAAAGTAACATATTTCCTCTCCCAGGAAGCATTAGCACAACGAAACAACTCATTCAAAATTAAAAGAGAGCCGTGGACTCTTTCATCCTTGGTCCTTTCACCACGGTCAACTGTCAGAAATTCCCCCGACATATCATAACATTGTTTGTACCTAAAAAGCTTTTTGTCCTAAATTTGACGATACCCCGGGGGGGGGGGGGGAGTCTCAGTAAGAGAAACAAACTACAGTATTAGAAAAAGCGCTGAAAATTATTTACCACTGAAATGGCTGCCAGAGTGCGCAATTGTTACGCTCAATTTTAAAACTCCGTGTTTGCAAACATTTCTAATGGTAAAAGTGTAGGCGTTTCGAACGTTTATTTAAAGAAAACTCAATCTCCAAAATAGCTGAACGCATCTTAATAAACTTGGGGTAGTTAAAAAAGTTTTTTCCTAGGCTATTTTTGCCATGTGTTTTGCGATTGCGATTGCTTAACTTGCCATCAGGTGGCGTTTTCTGAACTAATCGCCAAGAAAATAATTTTCTGACAAACGAATAAAAACAAGGGCATATATGACTTCTTTACCTCATTAAATAGTCAAATAAGGACACAAGAACTCAGTGAAAACCACATCTCAATATAGTTATCCTCACCTAAAAAACAAATAGAAGAACTTATTTTTGCAATAAAATAAATTATTTAATATGTCAAATGATATCTAAAATCAAAACAAAGTTTTGTTTCTAACTTTTACTTCTATTGGTGGATTACTACCGTTGGTTAGCACAAAATTAACCAGCACCAGACATTAATACTTGTTGATATCCTTGTCCGTTTTCAATTAATGCATTCAATTATTATCAATAATTTTTTGATTAATTAGGTTTAATCAACTAACCAAAACTAATAACTAGACGAAAAAATATTATTAATTAAATTATTGAAGTGGTAAAATGTATATTGAAATAACCTGTATTATTTTTAGTAAATCAAAATTTTTCCCAAACTTCAACTTTTTTTTTAGAATTTAGTTCTTTTGTTCATAGTTAATTAGAATAAAGATATTTAGATGCGGTTTTCACTAGGTTATCAGGCCTTTATTTAACGATCTAATGACATAAAAAGCTATGCCTGCATTTACTCTTTTTCAGGAAAATTATTTTCGTTTAGATTAAGTTAGAAAACGTCGCCTAATGGCAAGGTAAGCAACCACAATCGCGTCACTCATTGATAGTTTAGGGAAAACTCTTTTGAAAGACTTGAAGTTCATTAGAATGGATTCAGCCTTTTTAGAGAAAGTGACGTTTATTTGAGAAAATGGTCCAATATCCCCTATCACCTTCTTGGCAGAAATAGAGCAAACGGCATTAATCAAAAACATTTCAAATTGTCTCAACTTTAAAATAACTTTATACATAATCTTTTGTTCTTTTTGTAGAAGCCTAGTTTTAAAATTCAAAATAACAATTACGTTGCCTGGGGACAATTTCAGAAATTTGAAAATAATTTCAAGCATTTTCTCTTAGCCCATTAACTTAAGCTTTTTTTAAAATTTTTAGGACCATCTGTTTACCTAATACTGTACCTCATTGCCCTTACTGGGATGCCCCGTGTATATTAGAAATTTAACAAACCATGAGGAGGCTCCCTTTTGGTTGTGTTTAGTTGTTTCCCTTTGAGCAGTAACAATTAATGCAGCCCTTAGCGCTTCAATGGCCGCCTCACGAATGGCTTGTTTTGGATCCTGTATGGCCCAAAATATCAAATCAAAGAACTGTGAAACCTGCTGATAAAAATATGTAGGCAAAGCAATGGCCAATTCTTTTAAAACTAAGACAGCTGCGTGACGTTTTGACTAAAAAAACAAAAATGAATATTCAGAACAATCATAAGCATATAAAATAATGTGCCTCATTCCGATCACCACTAAGCCATTCCAAAGCCGTTTTTACTTCAAATTCCACGTATTCAGATGCTTTAGAACCCGAAACCATGGCGAGGCTGCCCATTGTTTTAGCAACCAATTCCATGACCCCAACATCATGTGATGGAAGCAAATTTCTTAAATAATTCGCGAATCTACTGATTCTGGTTGTCATGTTACCCACATCAACTCCAATTAAGCAAACTAAAATGGTGCAACAGACCAACCCTAACTTTTACACATCTCCAGAAATAATAAATGCACGCACCTATTGCAAGTATGCCTCCTTTCTTCTCATTAACATCATTACTTGAGACCATTTCAAATATATAATGATTAAATTTATCCAAAAAATTGTTGATCTCTTCTGGAGCAGCTTCTCGTAAATCATTTTTAACGTACAAAGACAAATCCTTTGCCGCCTTGAGACGCACTTGTTCATTTTTCGATTTGAGACGAGAAACAAACTGCTGCATTGCCGCCAAAGACATTTTAATGCTATTATTATAATTCAGAAGTTATTAAAAGTGACCTAGGTCTTAGGTTATGATTCCAAGTGACATGGGCTTTTGCTAAATATCAGTATTATTTAAACCAGGCGAAACATTCCGCAACTGTTTTTATTAAATACACATTACATAGTACAACTAGTAAAAACATCAATAAACAACTAATATTAATACGAAATGAGAAATATCGACAGCCGACATAACATGCCATAATTTAATTGAATTCAATGATGCGTTTCACAAAAAAATGTTGGGCTAAACTACTAGGATCATTCGCCCATTACCGACTTCCGTCGAGGGTTTTCCGATCTTCTCAGGAAGAAGACTTAATTTTGAAGTTCTAAATGTCGATGATTCGTGCCCAACAGCTATCTGTGAAACGCATCGTTGAATTGAATTGAAATGTCGATGATTCGTGCCCAACAGCTATCTGTGAAACGCATCATTGAATTGAATTTGAATTTGAAATGTCGATGAATTTCGCCAGGATCAATCGCCCATGGCGCACTAATGAAATAGCTTCAACTAGTGTTGTGACAATCGTTCATTTTACAAGTACTCAATTAATCAGTGACTGATTCCGAAAAGGACCGCATAATTTCAGTCAATCGTACATTTCAATACTTTTTGTTGTCAACATAAGCGCCAATAGTCTCTGAATCTGAGCAGTCCGAACTACCGATTTAAATTCATTTGAATTTGAATTATTGTTATGTTTATTTGCTCTGTTTGCTGTTTTAGTTAGTATAATATTTAGCTGTGTTCTGCTTTTTATTATATCATGATTTAATCAAAATAGGTGCTACATATTGGGTTGTATGGTCTGTTCATAGATATAAGAAAGTGACCAATTGCTTTTGAATGGGATTATCCAAGGGTGGTCAATAACATACAATGCAACAAGATTATTACCTAAAGTTTCGGAATTGAAATTCAGGTAAAATGGTGGTCCGTTATAGAAAACAATTAGTCATTTTCTTATATCTATGAACATACTTTACCAATAATACATTAAGTGGTTTAAATTAAATAGCTGTGTATAGATGTTCCATTCAATATTAAATTCAACACATAAGCAAATCTACCGATCGATGTTGCAACTCAATACTATAGAATAATTATAACAATACTCCCATTCCTTGTTCGTGGCCTGTCTCAGTCATGCATTTAAATCTGAAACCATTCAAATGAATCCGCAAGGCGAATTCGATTTGATTTGGTACGATCGGTCGTCCTGTATTCGGTCACTTCAGACCAGCCAGGGCGGCAGCAAGAGCGAACAAGGTGATCGAATCGTTACGGGATTTGGTTGTTCGATCCTATCAAGTGATTGAATCAAAGTGATCGCGGTTGACACAATCCTACCCTCAACTCATGATAACCATAGGCCCATGCCTAATACTCAGAATTGTTACTTTCAAAATAGCTAAAATTCACATTTTAACTCAAGATAAACCAAAAAGTAACATCTAAACAATGCCACAGATATCCTTAATTATCCTCACATTCTAAACACACCTCATTACCAGTGGCAATACGATTTGAGACTAATTGCTGGATCCTTACGTTGTTTGACCACTATGATGAGAAAACATCTGAACCCTGGTCTCTAGATTTCACCCACTAATCTGCACTTTGCGCTATTTTCTATCTAAACAGCAATTTCTACACACCTCACTTGTTTTTCCAGAACATTTAATGAGATCTAGGGATATTTTGAGAACACGCTGTCATAAAATGGTCCTATAGTGGCGTGGGTAATTGATATTTTCGTAGAACTTTTCCTCGCGTGCGTATACATTGCACCCACTAACCTGAATTTTGCGCCTTTTTTTTCTAAACAATGACTTCCACACAGTTAATTCGTTTTTCCAAAATATTTAACGAAATCGAGGCATATTTTAAGAAAATACTATCATAAAAATGCCGCCCCCATACTTTTGACATACACACAATATCAGTTCATAAAAAGAGAGATATTAAATCTCGCGCATGCACATGTTGCACAAATATTTTTTAACAGTTGCTTCATAAGTTTCTCGGTTCTGTATTCTGGACAAAGGCAGGGCCTTTATATTTCTAGAAGCTACATCTAGACATATCTTTAGAAGAACTATCATATAAATGGACTTAACAGAAAGTATTCTAAATTGGAGTTGTTCGTTAATTGTTTTTTTATTGTTCACCATTATAACGTTCAAGAAAGTCTGTGCAATTTATGCAAACATTTTTGAACGTTTCGCGCACGTGTGATATTTTATTTATTCATTAGTAAATGTAATTTTTATTTACTGGTCTGAAGCATGCCATTCCTTTTTGTACCATTCGTTATTTTTTGATAAAACTAGCTATTTATTAGGTTGGAATAACGGGAAGGGAATGGAAAGAAGGAAAAAGTATTAAAATATTGCCAAAAAATGTAATAGTTTTATTAAAAAATATTCTTCGATTCGAAAAAATAACATAAATGTACACTTGGGACCTTAATGACTTTCCATCGTTTGTCTTATGTGTATACAAATTAAATATGTGTTCGCGCTACTGAGATATAGTAGTGGCGCATCATTCGCTTGTCATGAATATTTCGCGGAGTTATGAATACACATCAATGCGGAAATGAGCACCAAAATAAAAATACAATTCCCAAAGAAAATACTGAAATACCGGACTCAAAGTCATCGTCAAATGGAACGCGTTCAGGAGTAACGCACAGACTCTGAATGTGTGATATGTATTTTACCTGTCAGAAATGACCCAGTCGTACCACAATTAAAATTAAAGAAGTTTTAACGTTTGTTGGGCTCAATCTTAGAATGAAAGGCCAAAATTCATCACACTTATTAATTTCTGAGGTACCTATACTAACTAACGTCCGTTGCGCCTTTTTGGGTAGTACTAATTATCACTTTGATTTGTTGTTCAAAATGTTTAGAAAGAAAGGCCAAAATTCGTTAAAAAGCAACAACTTATTAATTTCGGAGGTACTTATAGCCATATGAGGACTCTATGAATAGTACTAATTGTGAAATTGGTTTGTTATTCAGCAACCACAACTTATGTGTTACCTATAGCCATTGCTGGTGCAACCCTAATGGAAGTACTAATTTTGAGTTTGGTTTGTTGTACAATCAATTGCTTCGCCCTTTACAATCACTCGTTTGAAAATACACTCACATTCGGCGAGTTATTCCTGAACGCGACCGTGAATGTAGAACATCCCTACGCTATCAACTCCTTTTCTCTCTCTATGTCTGCTTGCTTTTTCAGAGGTTGCAGTTCTTTGCCGTCCTCCGGATAAGTCTTTGCCGAGTTCCAATGTTGTATTTTCCCTGTACCGAATATCAGGTAAACCAATCCACCGAATATGTAGGTGAAGACGAGCACCCAAAACACATATTTCCACGTGTCGAAGGTGCTCTCGTCCTTGGTCAACACCGCCACTATTTTCGTAGACAACCAACCGCCGAACGAAGATAGGGTGTTGGCCAGCCCGAATATGGTGCCGGAAAAGTTCGGCGCGATGTCCAAAGCGTTCGCCAAATAACCCGCAGTCACAGCGCCGTTGAAGAAGAGCGATATGGTGAAAACGGAGACAGAAAGGGCTGCGTTTATTCCCCAAAACGCCTCGACTATCATCAGGAAACCGGGAAGCATGACGGCGAAGGTGGTGAACATTTTTCTGGTCGCCGTTGTCGACATCGTGCCGGACTTACGAAGCCGGTCCGCCAAGTAGGAAGATATGACCGCCATGAAATATTTTCCTGAAATACGTTAGAATTTAAATACCGCGCAAACCACATTTTTTTCTATAGTTTTTAGTACCAACAAACCTTGAAAACTACTAATTTATTTTAAATATGAGCCTGCATACACGGTGTTTCAAAAAACACCAAAAACTAACCAAAAAGAAACGAAATAATCACAGAGGGCAATTAAACCAAGGCAACTTTGCAAAAGATAAGCTTTGATGCCAGATAGCACACGACATCCATTGGATATGTAAAATTAATCAATATATTATCCACGTAGTCCAGAAAACTCTCTAGACATTAAATGGACTATCAGTTTTGTACATATAGTTGCGAATATCTTATCTTATCTTATATCTTTGGATATTCCCCCACTGTCGGATATAATATAAAATTATACAAAATTTAGAAGTGATGTTTCAGAAATAATGATAGTATAAAGTAAACTATATCAAAACCTAATTTGAAGGATTCTAAGAACATGTTTTTTTCTATTGATTACAGTGGATTTGAATCAATATTTTGTTAACAATTCTTTTTGAAAACGACGTCACCGCCTAGAATTAATATGCATGCATAGAATAAGAAGAATCGTTACTAACCAAAAACTAAAGTTTTTATTGCTTTGGTTAATACTTTAACCAAGTATTTCTCGTCATGCCATTTTATTCGCGCAGTATTTTTTAATTTACAAATTCCTTCTGATCATCCCATGCTTTGTTGTGATTTTTTGCGATAAACAGTGTTTTAGTGGCTTTAATTGAACTACGTAGGAAAATATCTTTACGTAAAAGTGTTCTGTAAGTGCATCACCCTTTTTACAAATTTAACGTGAAATCATGGCAGGTAAAAGAATCAAGTGAAGAATTAATGAAGTGATATAAAGAAAACGGGAATTGTACAATAATTATAGATATACCAAAGAAAGGTTTCAGAAACATTAATGATGGACATATTGTCAAGATCCAAAAAAAAACAAAACAGTGCAGATATAACAGGTTTGGATAAAACTTCAGTAAGAAGATTTGGTGTTTTTCAAGCATTGGTATCTGGATATCAAATTAATTTAGAAAATTTTAAGCAATATTCAGGAGAAACAAGAATTTTTTTTTATTTATTATTTAGTCCATAGTGTGGATACAATTAAAAACTGAATATTGCTAAATGAGCAGTTATCAGAATAACCAAAAAAATTACGCAATAACGATTACAGAAGAAAGGAATTCGACACTGCCTTGAATAACGAACTAATGAGAATGTTGCGGATATCTTCCGACCCTCTAGCTAGCAGCTGCTCCAAAATGTAAAGAATGCTTTTCTCCTGATGTTTTAAACTTAACAATGTGCTATAGCCAGAATCTCTAGTAATTTTTCTAATGAAGAATGTTTTTTTTCTGAGTGTGAAAGTGATTAACATACATTTAAAAAATATATATTAATTAATTTATCATCAAATAATATTTAAGTCGAACAGCAAGGTTAGTAAAGTTCACATTTCAATTTGATTTCCATTTAATTTTAACCTTCTTATAACCTGTTTGTTTTTAAATTTAGCTCTCTCCGTTTCAGTTTGTTACAGCTTGTATATTTTCTCATGTAAGGTTAGGTAAAAAATAAAATATTACTTTTTTTCACATTTTGTGTAGGAACATAATATCATACATATTATGTGTAATAATTTGAAATAATAGCCTGTATATTAATAATCTTTACTAGTTAAAACACTTTTGAACTGTACTAAGGAACCTAGTTTAAGCAAAACTAACCTAACCCGCTATAAATAATGTAGCTAAATTTAATCAGCCAAATTTTTAATTTTAATTTTAAACATCTCAAATTTTGAAAAGTAAGTATCTGTGAACCTACTTTGGGGCATGTTTTTTAAAACACATACACTTTAAGTACATACATATATTATATAACTATTAACCCTAACTCTAATTATTTATTATAGGACTTGAATTACGGGTAGGTAAAGAATAAGTAAATATGAGCAACTTAAAAAATATTTTAAAAATAACGAAATTGCTATAAACAAACGTGAAAAATAATATTAAAATAAATACGTGAAAAAATTAAATATGCAGATTTTGAATGATGAAAAAATTCTAAGAAAAAAAATAAACATTATACAATGCTTTAATTATTATGAGAAAATGGTTGCAGACCGCCGAAACAATTGACAACTTGTCGTTATTTATAAGGCGAAAAAAAGATTGCAATCGTAATATTACTAGTTTCTTTAAACATTAATTTATGCCAAACAATGACTTTCCAACAAGTTTTGAATCTCTTTCTGTAATTGTGGGGAAAATATGAATTAAAACCCACTTGGACCCTTAATGGACGCGAACTGGTTTATGGGTGATTTTTAGGTAGCAAAATTGAGGTAATTTTCAACGTTAGATGGTAACTATTAAAATATTTTACACTATCTTATTTTATTAGCTTTATTACTTAATTCTTTTACGATAATGCATATAAAGATATTTAGATAGACAAGGTTAATTGCTTTGAAACCCACTGTTGTCAAGTCGACAATTATATGCCACAGACCCATTATTAAAGTGACAAAAAATGTAAAATTCGTCCAGCTAATTATCGATAAACGTAATAATTATTCCATGTTAATTGAATTTCAAAAATTGTGGTACCTATAGAATTTGAAACGATTAATGTTTTGTGAATGTAGGGTAAAACGTTAACCTTTAAAACCTTAAATTTTCTATGTATAGGTAAAAGTATATCTCAAAGTATATCGTATTGCCTTTTGACCTATCCCAAGAAGTAATTATGACCATCATACCTATTGTTACTGAGCAAACCTGATCTTGTAGAGCTGAAAATAATATCAGAAACAATAAAAATCGTCCAATTTCGTTTTTTTTTTTAACGATCTTTGTTAGTTTTCTCAACAACGGGTTATTAACCTATAATTTAACGCCACCTTATGGTATCTCTTATGATTTATAATATCCTCATTATAGACAGATGGGGCATAGTGTTTTACATCTTCCTCCATATCCTAGAATATCGTAGCACCAAGTAAAATGAAATGTGAGTGCAGGAAATATTACACTTACTTTAAGACTGAGTTTAATAATTTTATAATCAATAAATTTGTAAAATTGTAATCGATCTTAATGACGACTCTGAGGTTATTTTGATAACTGCCGTCAAAAGCCAAAATGAAATACTTTGAGACAAAGTATACCTATTGCAATTCTAATCGTATTAATGGCACTACAAAAGATCATTGCAAACCAAGCAGTTAAAAATAGATTTTTTTTGTCTGGTGCAATAATTTTCTAATAAAATCCATTGCGCCTAAGCGTTCACATCATAAACCGTCCTTTATGATGCAGTGTTATTAGCGTATATGCATACCATTCAAGAAAATATATGGCGAAAGAACGAAAATTATAAAATAAGCGGTGTTTTGGTATCAGCGTATTTCCTTCTTAGAACTTCTTAGATACTATCTTTGATTAAATTCAGCGCTTTTGATAATGAAAGGATCATTTAAAATTACTCAGGTAAAACTAAAAAAACTCCTAACTTTGACAATCTATAACTCTGTAACAAAGTTTCCGCCAATATATTGTTTGTATGAGATTTTTAGATTAAACAAAAACTACCTACTGACTAGACTAGAAAAAGCTCACTATATGTACAGAGTTTTCATTTATATTTTGATACCTACCTACATACAAGTTGTATGGTTTTTCTCCATTATCTTCTGAACGTACCAATAAAAACGAAAAAAAGGTTAAAAAATCTACAACTTTATTTTTTAAAATAGATCACTCTATGTATTTCGGTATTTGGTTTAGCCATTTTTGAAATAATTTGAGTTTATTATTCAAAAACAGACAAGATAATTCTTTCAACTTTCTAGACTTAACTATAATTAAATTACAAAACCGATTACATTTTTCCATTTATCATAAACACTGGCATATCGACACTGTTATACAAAATAACTTAAATCACCAAGGCACACACAAAATGCATTTCAGACTGCTTAATACACTTTTTTCTACAGAAACTTTTGAAAAAGAATTAAATATTACAAATAAAAACTAGCTCTGAACAATGGTTACGATCCCTCCTGGTTTTAAATAACTCCAAACTCTATTTTCCCCATATGAAATACCAAATCCAAACCAATCCAAAAAAAATCAAATGCACATGGGAGAACCTAGCAACAAAGTGTCCGAACATCTCTCTAGATGTGGTGTTTTAAAACTGAAAACACCATATCAAAATATTTAAAAAACAATAAAACTAAGTAACAAAAAAACTGAAAAATCTGGAATGTATAGGTTAACATGTGGATCATCTTCTAAAATGTGCATGCCGCATTACTGCTTAAAAGGGCGAATAAAAATACTAGTTTGGATTCTAATTCAGAAATTCAGAAATGCACAAGTATGACGATAATTTATATATTTTACATAGTGCACCAAAAAGCCATAGTCTTGTTGGGTGCTAACGAAAGATTAATAAAATGATATTTTTAAGAAGTAGGTTGTCCATTATTGAACAGATATATTTGAATGGATCCCTCCGTATAGTAACTGTAATTAAAAATTCATTACCACCTTATTATTTTATTTATTTATTATTATATATGGTCGTCAGAAAATTGCAACATTTTCTTGATAAAAGTCCGGTGTTGTCGAAACAGTTGTCAACCGCCAATAAAAAAATTGTGAAAATCTGTCATCTGTCGTCAAGTAAATGCCATCTTAGTTGAATTGATTCTTGGATATTTTAACCTAGGAGTAAGATCGCGAGATATAGTTTTGACCATCAAATTTAGGTGTCATTTCACTACATTGTTGTAGTTTAATTCAAAAGTCAATACATAAGTCCTTTAGACGGGTTAAGTGTCAAAATAGGCCAAAATGATATAACTAAAAATTCGCAAACTTCTAGGTACAGAATTTAACTGTCAATTAACTCAGTCCAATCAAATAGAGTGTCTATCAAAAAAACTTAATAGCTCTTATTTTGCTATCTTAACATTTAAATTTTCCTTAAATGTATATCAGTCATCAGTATACTTAGTAATCTCTTACAATATCATAAGTTAGAGCAGTAGAATCGAATCGAATCTTTGTCCAACAAAAAGGATAATTCGACCAGAACCAGTAGAATCATGCTGAGATGTTTTCGGAACTTAAAAAAAAATCACTCCAATAAATATTTATTTACTTCAAGTATTAATTTAAATACCAAAAAATAAAGACAATTTTCAAACAAAATGTATATTCATTCTTACTCGACAAGAAATAAACATTTTAGTTAAAAAATTTAATAGCTATTGCCATAAAAAATCAACTTTTCATTCCGGGAAAGTATACTATAATATGATTCATGCTGAAACTAGAGACGTAGAGCCAAATAAATTGAAAAACATTTAAAATCTTTACTGACAACAAATGTTTTTTTATAACATAATCAGAATACGAAAATGGTATGAATAATAAATAAAATAATAAAAAAAGATTATATTCCAGGACACAATTTTGTTCTCTGTTTGTTGTCTGTTTTGTAAAATTTTGTATTTGTTTTGTATAACCTTTTTATTTATTATTAAATTTTAAAAATATTTAGACATACTGCCATTTCTTCCTGACTGAACTTTCCTTTGTTATATTGGAAATGATGAATAAATATCTCCTATATTTTAATGAAACATAAGTCATTAATTCTTTGGAGAATATTGTTACTTTGTTATTATATCAAAAAGTGCGCTCTAGTATCATCACTGATCAGATGAAATCAGGTGAGTCGTTTAGGAGTTGCTAATTTAGAAAAAAACTGCACCTGCACTTCATTAGTGGATAGATCTAGTCATCAGAATCATGTATTCTCTTGATATCTTTCCTAGATTCATGGCAAAGAAAACTTAATTTAAAACGAGGATGGGAAATCTCAAAAGATTTCCATAAATGATTTTACCGCAAGCCTCGACGACAAGTAGTTTTCGAGATACAGAGTTTGCATTCTTATCCGACCGTCCTGTACGGAGTATCCCATTTTGGACATTTTTACCGGGAATCTCAGTTGTTTTTAACGACAGACCGTCACGGTTTACGCCACACTGTGCTACTTTTTTGTGAAACGAACAGGATGAACTTGGAACCACCCTCGCATCTCCCTTGTCTTACGAGTTATTGTTTGAAAAACGTTCATATAGGATTTTTTTCCGTAGAATCCACTGTTTGCTCTGTTGTTATAACCACTTTTTAGTTATGAAGCAAAGATATATTTTTTAAATTGAACAAATTAATGGTAAATCATTTAAGCATTTCGAAAATATGTAGTAGTAAAAAGTTGTTTTGAAAATTAACCTCAACATTCAATTTTTTTCATTTTCTACTATATTTGTAGCAGCACGTCATAGCAAAATCAACTAAATCAATTAAAATTTGATACATATAAGCATTACGAGAAAACAGCATGAAAATATATATTTTTTAAATAATAATGTCTTATTAATATGATAAATATTATGTTATTATAATCTTAAGTAGATAGTTGGCTATGACTCATCTATTAAAAACAAAAAAGCAGATGTGTCAAAAACTTACAAGACTGTCAATTTTTATTTATATTGTTATTGCCTATCCATTTGGTCTTTCTGTTTCTATTTTATTTTAATTAATTTTGTATAATAATGACAGTGTGTGAAAATTCTGAAAAATATGATATGTTGTTATGTTTTATACCATCCAAATTATATTACAACCGGTAAGGTTTTTAAAGGGATCTAGTCAGTATAATTTTTATATTATAGAAATGTGTTTTGTTTATATTACTATATATTATTACATATTACATATCTAGAGAGACGACAACCGTTTCCAGATATATTTGCTCGTCTGAAAATAAATCTAATTAGGCGTGGATCCTTTATTCAACCACGTACGAAAAATTAAAAAAAAATTATTAGGTTACTTGGATATTGTTTTTAATAGATTAATAATGGCCTACTGCTACAAATAAAATAAAATATGAAAAAAATGAAATTTTGCGCTTAATTTTCAAAAAAACTTTATACTGTTATATATTTCTGAAAAGCTGAAACTAATGTAAAAAATAATATGCAAAGTGTTCCATTTAAAAACTAATAAACGGTTAGAGCAAGTAAAAAACAAACTACGCAACTAGATTCTACGGAAAAAATCCTATTATAATAATAAATTCTTCATTAATTGAAAGGCAACGGAGTTACGAGGATGTTCCCAAAAACGATAGATTTCAACGTGTATCCTAAAAACCAAGAGGGCCATGATAATTTTAATTTCACAAAAAAAGTAACACAGTGTCGCGTAAGCCGCAACCTTCTATCTTAAAAACTAACCGGGATACCTCATAAAAGTGCCCAAAATGGGATCCTCGGTTCAACAGAGCGTCCAGACAGTACAATAATATGTATTTGATGTCGCTAGAAATCGAGAAAACACCTTGAAAATAGTTGAAGCGCACTTACCTAAATAGGGCAAGCTGCTGAGCAACCCGTTCTCCTTGATGTTAAACTTGAGCACGTCCTTCATATACGACGGCAGTTGATTAACCACAGTGAAATAACCGAACACCGAACACGCGTGAGTAATAACGATGGCCCAAACCGGAGCACTCAAAAAAATATTTTTCCACGGCACGTTGCTCGGTCTTACGCTTCTACCACCTTCCCCGTCAGCGATCCTCATCTCGAGGTCTCTTTTTTCCTCGTCGCTGATACGGGGATGCTGCGCGGGCGAGTCAAACACTAAAAAGAACCACAATATGGACCACACAAGACCTACGGCACCGGTGACGTAAAACACGCTTGCCCAGCCGACGGTACTGATCAAAAAACCACATACGGGCATCGTTAGAGCTGCTCCCAAACTAGACGCCATCATGTTGGCTATAAATTTTGACCTCTCCATCGGAGGTATCCAACTGACCGCCAACGGTTGTATGGCTGGCCAGGTGGCGCCCAAAAAGAATCCCAGGAAAGCGCGCAAGATTAAAATTACGTAGTAGTTCAGATAACAAGCGGCTGGGGTCAGAATCGTGAGGATGGACGCCATCAGCATGCCTCCGCCGAAGATTTTTCTCGCACCCACTATTTCGGCCATTCGACCGCCAGGTAGCTCGGTTAGCACGTAACCCCAGAAGAAACTCCCTGAAAATGATCGACGTTGTTCTACCAAATTTGTTCAAGGTTATTGTACAGGAAGTCAGTAAACAAATGTTACATATTGATGAATTTCTAAACAGTCCGCAGACCTTTTTGATAATGTACATAAATTTATGTACTTTTGCAATTCGTTGTCCTAGATCCAGAAGTTGACACGAAAAAAACTATTAATTTTAAAAGGCACTTAGTTCTCTATTCTTGCAATCCAATATTATTACATTTTGCCATAAATGTTATAAATTAGGAATTGAATAGTCATACTACAGCACATAATTACATACATACATAATCGTTATAAAAATGAATGAGAAGGATTGTTTTTTAATCCCTAATAAAATTTTTATACTATTTTCCGAAGTCGAGGCCTATTTCAAAAACGTGAAAATAGAATCGAATTAATGCCGACACCTACATATCCATTTATTTAAATCATATGGCTATTACCTACTACGGTAAAAATTGATGCTATAATGACCTGCACTTTGCGCCATTTTCTTTCCAAACAGCGATGTTCTAGATAAAGTGCCCCCTAGTGACAGAATTCTGAAACACTTTTATTTTGATGAAAAATTGTAAACAATTGTATTAAATTGTAAATAAAATATATTGCAAACAAATGATACAGAAAACCAAAAAGAGAGCTTTTTAATTTGGTATAAACAAAACTTATTTATTGTTTATAAAGGACAACTGCTTAATTGCAAATAAATTAGGAGTCATGGTTTTATATGGGACTAAAATGTTTAACGTTATAACGTTTGTAAGATCCACCATTTAAGAGAGGCTGTTATGGTAATTCCAAGTATAGCATGTTTTGCTTTTTCGAAAGTATAATTCCATTTGGTAGGACCACGGCCTAACTGATATTAAAGGGTTTTCTTATATGTTATAACTTCACACTCATATCATAAACGGCAATTTCCTTACGTAAAGAATGAAGTTTTTTGACAATTTATGCGATTGATACTGTTAATACTTTACAAAAGTGGTTGCACATAAATTATTAAAATTTAACTCGTTTATTACTCGTGACTAAAATGGCGTTTATCAAACTTGTTGCAGAATACAAAATTAACCGCATACGCTTATATACCGGGTGTCCCAATAAGGGTAACGAGGTACCGTATTAGGAAAACGGACGGTTTTACAAACTTGACAAAAAAATAGTAATCAGCCAAAAGAAAATGAACGAAAATATTTGCGGGTGTCTGAAATATCCACCAGGCGGCGCGATTTATTATCTTGAATCTTAAAACACCGTTTCTAGTGCTCCTTTAATGCCGAGACAAATGCTTTTTTCTGGTTAACGCTATTTTGGATGATTCCAAGTTAAATTAAGCGTTAACACATTGACATTTACTTCAAAAATTGTTCAAATAAACCGCCTCTCCCACTCTCCTTGCAGAGATAGACCAAACACCATTAAACAAAAAAGATTTGAGCTTTAAGATTTGAGCTTTAACTACGGTTAATATCAGTAATTTTTAAAGAAACCGAGTTGTTATCTTAAAAAGCAATGTATATTGTATGTATGTATATTAAGTTACGAAAAATTGTAAAAAAATGCATATAACAAAGTTAAGGAAATGGAAAACTTCTAAGAGGGCTAAAAATTATTGACTGAAAGCAAAATACACAAAGATTTTTCAAAATTAACAAGTTGTAGCTACAGCTTATAAGAACTTTAACAACAAAATAGACACGTATCGTTCTTGTGATAGTTTAATCGGTATCCATGTTTTTATTTATTTATATATTATATTTTTATTTATATATTATATTTATATTTATATTTGCTATACATAACATAATAAAATTAATGATGGTTCAGATGTCCATTTACAAAAATATGGGTATTAAAAAAAAATGGAGATTAATTAATATTTTCGAAGCCGCTTGAGGTATTTCAGTGATATTTAACACGAAGTGAAAGTTAATAAGCGTACTTTTCGACGTAAATTTAAATTTGAGTTTTAGCGGTGACTTGCGAAGGAGTAATAACTTTAATAATTTGAAGGTACGTCAATCGTTTTTCGAAAAACAAAATAATTTTTGTTTGTAACTTCCAGCTCTGGGTAGCAATATAAAAACAAGCTAAATCGGGGCATTTCCAAGACATTTAATATGCAGTGAAAGTGAAAGAAGCATATTTTTCACCGTAAGTACCAAAATAAAAACAAGTTAAACCAAAATGATCATAATCATTTCTATTTTCTATAGTGGAAACTCAATGACAGAGAGCATTTTAAATAAATTCTGACCTTAGCAAATTTTGAAATTAATTGTTAGAACAGGAAAAACAAAATGGTACCTAGAATAGCGTTCTTTTGTTCAGAGTCCCAACTGAATCTGGTCTCATCTATGCGGCTTTTTGTAGAAGAATTTGCAACCGAAACGTTGGTCTCCACCATATCCACTATCGCTATAGTGAGGTTCACTCTGAGCATGTAGTTGAACATGAATCCCAGTATCACCATGACGTTGAGTACTTGCTGACATGATACAAAGCCTGCAAAATAAAACGCAGTGTTTAACAATAAAAAAAATTAAATTGCTAAAACTGACGCAAACAAATGTTTATACCTGGGCCTGATTTGCTCCCAAACAAAATCATTTTTGCGTTTCCGAGAGTCGTCACCAAAAAGTAGCGAAGCCATAAAACGCTGACGTAACACTGATTCTTAAGAACAACAGTCGAGCCCCTTTATATACATAGTTCGAGATGTTTTCGGTATTATTTCAAAGATTCATTGAGTTCGAGATAAGTCAACAACGTACGAGTCCGCTCAGTACAGATCAAAGTACATGCGTCGCAAATACCAGTACAGGAATTAGAAGGAAAAAGCGCCAATGTGTAATTGAGCATAAACATCCCTCGGAAGTTTGGCAACGTCGAAAACAATTTATACTCGAGATTTGGCGGTAGATAGGTGGGTTATATGGACATTAATTCGGAATTCTCCAGATGACCGTTTTGATCTACTCTTTGTATCGCGGTACGGTACTGCCCAACACAGTTCAGAGGACATTTTGTTGCGCCACCTTGTTGTTCTAGATTCCGTGCGGCACATAATAACAATCTTTGTTTTCGTCACGAAAAATTAATTGTAGTTATTTCCTGAGTCTCTAACAAAAATTGGCGTAACCTAATTTACTCGATAATCGAGTTTTGTTAACACCAAACTGCCGGAAAAATATGTTAATAATAATTATTATTAACTAGATTAGTCCAGCGTCAGGGCGGAAAACTTATTATGCGGCTTGCTGATAACGTTTTAATCAACTTTGTAGGTTGGACTCGCAATACAACCAAAAGGTCAACGAGCGTTCCTTGACTTGACTGGGAGTGGAAACGTACAATTATTTCATTACTTAAAAGACTTTCCGAAAAATTGTCTTCGGAATGCAAAAGTGGAACTCGAGCTTTTTGTTTCGATGATCGCTGTAAGTGTTATAAAATAATAACCCTTGTAAAGTGTGTCTCAAAGTATATCGTCTTGGATTTTGATGTAGCCCACAAAAAGTAATTAATTACGAAACTAATCCGTATTGTCACTGGGTACACCCAACAAATAATAATAATTTATCCATAAGGGACAAGGCGAGTCTTAAAAAGTGCGCTTCGAAAAAGCTTCTTTTTTTGTTATGTAGCATCCAAATCACTTGTCATTAGATGCAAAACAAATTGTAGAAAATGTATATGCATATTTAATAAGCACAGGATTCAGTAACAAGCTGATCTTTTTTGCAATGTTAGTGATTTACGAACGTTAGAGCAAAAAAGATACAAGGTGTTTTCCTAAACCCTACATTCAATTGTTTTTTTTTTATGTTTTCACAATGGTATTCGGTGGAAGAAATGCTTCTAGTCTTCTAATTTAACCGACTTTGTATATCTACTCATAACAAGGTTACTAATGATGAACACTTAGTTCAGACTAGCTTGTATAAAAAGAAGTAATTTTGCAATATAATCAATGTCAACCTATGAAAGTGGCTTAAGCATTGGCTGGGTTACTCTGTAGCCCCTCTCCACAACTAATGAGGTTTTATTACTCTACCTAGTGCTAAAATAGACTATAATTGTATCCAAATAATCGTCGATTTATTATAGCAATAACAGCAATTGAAATATGTATGTAATTATTTTCATTTTTTTCAATTATTTTTATTTTTTCGACAGTTTTTCGTTTCCCAAATACAACCCTCACCTTCGAATTTTTCTTTGATACCATATAGAACCATGTAGATATAATAAAATAATAACAAGATGTGTAGGTCTTAAAGACTCTCATTGCAATTTATATGACGTTTTGTCCGCCAAGTTGAATCATCGCTGTCATTGCAAATTTACATTTTATTACCTTCTCCAATTCAGAAGAAACAAGCTATAGCGTAATTATTTCACTAAAAATAAAAGCTATACAATAAAGCTTCTGAATCATGAGTTTTTCAGGTGGTATCTTTAATTTGATTTATTTGCTGTTAAAAATGTATGCCATTATAGCCGAATGTCCGCTACTTTAAGATTGTTTCTATGCAGTGCAGATGAACTTCCGCGATTGTTTAATACAACAGATCAAACTTGTTTTGACTTTTTTCATTGATAATGATTATAAAATATTTTTCTAGGAAGGCAATACAAAATCTTATGTAGAGAATTGACTTATAATGCATGTTTTCTCAGTCTGGTATTGGTTGATTGTGGGGGTTGGTAAAATAGTTCGAGATGACTAAAACACCATATGCTACAGAACATGACATAGTTGCGAATGGTGTCCAAGAAAGAAAAACGCGGAAAAATCGTGGGGTCTCAAAATGTCTACTTAACATGCACCACGCCGGAATAGTGAGGTAGTAGATATATGGTGCGTATCAGAAGAATATTGTTTAAAAATTATTACATTAAAACATTACATGAAGAGTTGCGTAATATTTTGAACATTGACTATTGCCAAGAGACTTTGCTGCGTTCAATCAATCAAAAAGAATTTCGGAGGTGGAGGACAATTAGTGCTAACACGTCCCATCAAATATTTAGATGAAACCGGGTTTGATAGCCACGATACCGTCAAGAAAGGATGTATTGATGGGTACCAGGATATGTTTGTTGGAAGTGGCAGTTTCGCAGGGCAAACGAATTATCATACTACAAGGCTCTGAAGCCTGTTGGATAGATAACACTTTGTTGCTTTCTGTAAAAGCTGTCAAAGAAGCAAAGCTTGACTACCTCGAAAACATGGCAGCAGACATATTTGAAAAATGGTTTATTCCACCAAACAGTGTTGTCGTGATGGGCAACTAAAGAAGTCAGCCAAAATTGAAAAATGAAAAAGATATGTAATTTAAAAATTCCTATGTAAAGAAGGAGGTTTTGGAAGTTCTTAAGATTGAACTAATATGGGGACAGCTGATACCCAGTTTAAGAAGAAACAACACCTCGCCGAAATTTAGTCTTTAGGATGCAGAAACGCATTTTACGGACTATACTGTTTAAGCCCTGGAATTTTTCATGTCGGGACCTATTTCCACAACACTCTTTCTTGACACTTCCTAGTATGTACATACTAAATTGTGCCACGTATGTAAAAAGTAACTCTAATCTTCATATGCCCTCAAGAAACTCAGATGTTCAGTACAGTTTAAGACCGAATCTTAACATAAAAATACCTACACATCGACTGTCTCTTATAGCAAATAGTTCCTTTGTTTTGACTGTAAAAATTTATAATAAATTGCCTATCGAACTGAAGGAGATAACTAGTCAAACAAAATTCAAATCCACTCTTAAAGACAAATTGCTACGCCTCGCCTATTACAATATTAAGGATATTCTTGTGATACCTTTTAATACGTATTCGTTGTTTGTTATTGTTTATATATTTGTTATTTATCTATCAGTATTACTTATTATTATTATTATTAATTTACTAATTATACTAAGATAATTTTATACTTTTACACTTGTAAATCCAGTCTTATGGAAATAAAGCTATCTTTATCTAAATTTAGTTCTGGGGCAATATAATTTATCAGAAGTGAAGTAGAAAAAATATGTGCTTTTAGTTGGAAAAAATGTGTAGAACATGTCATCGAAGAAGAAAATGTTTACAGAAGTCGACTAGTGCCAGAATGAATTATTAATGTGGGGGGATGAGTCCCAGTGACGAAAATTTTTGGACCTTACTTCCTCGATCAAAATCTTAGTGGACTCCAGTATTCACATTTTTTTTCAAAATGACTTAATTCCTTCTCAAATCCAAGAGAGCCTGACATGCTGGAGAGACAGATTTGGTTTCAGTAGGATGGTGCTTCTCCGGGGATATTGAAAATGAAAATTATATAAGGAAAAAAGGAGGATATTTTCACATGTAGAATTAAATACGAAAAAAATCAAATTAATGAAAATATCCCCAGTTATACTTTGGAAGCGATCATTGTTCTTAAAATGAAACGAATTTCTTCCATATTTTACCCGTTCACTGTATATTTTTGCCATAACTGCGTAATTTGCTAAGCGCACTATCTAGTAGTTATTTTTAAAAATCCGCATCATTGTATAACGTTTTTATGGCGATTCTCCAAGACTCATCGACGACCAGCGTTTTTTGATAATTATGGCACAAAAATTTCTCTCTGCCATATTACCGATTAAACCAGAAAAGGCCAATCGCTAAACGGAACCAAATAGTATTTGACGTAGACAATATGTATATTTATATAACGTCACAACGTTTAAGCGCGTTTTGCGTCTCAACAGCTTTCGGTTTTTAGAATGAAACGTAGTCGGTAAATTGCTTCAGAATAAATGCGCCGTTTCAAAGAATATTAACTAGTGGGAACGCGAAGGTTGAGTTACAATAGAGATTTATTTAAAAAGAAACAATAACATACACACGCTTACGGAGACATAATATAAACAATGTCGGTATTACGCGCAATGAAGAAAGTGCCAATCATAATAGGGACAGGCCCCCTAATGCTAAAATTCCCCCGTCTTTCACAATGGAGCGGGAATAATGCGAATAAAACGCGAGGAGATTCCCCGATATAATATTTAGTAACTTTTAGTAACAACGTGACAATGAAAAGTTTAAGCTCTTTATTGTGTGGAATACAATCAATATACGGGACAGATCATTACTTTTATTATTATTTTAGATGTTCTTGCCAATTATATTAAATAGACCACGAGATATTATCAATCATTATTTTAAAAGTTGCAAAAACTTTTTTTTTTAACGATACCATGTATATTATTGAATGTTATACCGTTTTCTAATGTAGTTTTAAACGGTTTTCGCGTTATTTCATATTTTTTGTCAAAAGTCAATCAAGCCCTAATGTCTTTACATACCGTTGGTTTTATTTATGTCAAAGTGGCCATCCGCATCACCGGATTGGTAGCTCCTGGGACTTCCACTCCGTGATTGCATAGCTAGCGTACTCTAAGTAGCGTTTTGAATTGATCGGTTAAATTTTTTGTGTCAATTGACCGAAATAAATTTT